TTTTCGGTGCAGAGTGTGGCTCTGGCTTACTTCCTTTCCTTCCTCTACTCCGTGTATGCGCCTCTTATGTCTGGCCAGATTTACCTGTACGTGCAAGACGCCTTTCCTCCAGAACACATGGGAAAGCTGTTGGGACTTGCCATGTCGGTTGGCGGCGTCCTCTCGCTGCTGGCCACACCCCTGTTCGAGCTGTCTGTACACCGCAACAGCAACTTCTTCATTGTCCTCTCCGTCTTCCTGGCCCTCTCTTTGGGTGCCTACTTCTTGGTGGGATGGGCTGTACGTGCAGGGAACAAGCGGAAGCGGCGGATTGTACTCACGCAGCAGCTGTCGAGAGGCGCGTCCCCGCATGCTTTTTAGTCATGCGTTGAGAGAGGACGGTTGCAAAAAAAACGAGAAACAGGACTCGTTTCGTGATCATGAGGATCCGTATCTAATGCAGCTCTCCAGGAGCTCAGCAGTTTTCCTTTATAGACGTTTTTTACCGTATTCCTACCCTATATTAGCACCAGCAGTTCTTTATGGTTGGTTGGCGTGGGGAGTCTGCATTTTCTGCGATGCAATTCTGTGATGTGTGTTAAGCAGCAGCGTATGAGGTAGGAGGTAATCTCCATGAATTCGAATGGTCTTCTGGCAGGGCCAGGCCTGGCCTGTAGTCTTGTGTGGAGTGCTGCACGCCTTAAAAATAATCCCCCCCTCTTGTAAGGCATTCTTCTGCTGGAGGGAGATCCCCGAAAATGAGCGAGTCACCTAAAAGCCGACTGGACTGTTTGTGAAGGGGCTGTGTGTGCCGCCTCCAGATCGCTTTGTGTGGCTTTGATATCGCCTGGGGTGGCTTAGATGCTTGGGGGAAAAGGGGGGCCAGAAGCGGGAGGCAGCACGCTGCTGCTCTATCCCTTGGTAGCACAAGTAAAGCAGCTATGCGCTTACCCTTGCTTTTTGAATGCTCAGCTGCAGTCGAATTGTAGAATGAACTGAAGTAACGTAGAGACTCTTCAGAAGCCTTTATATGAGGGTTCTTGAGGCGAATAGAAGGGTTGAGGGGTAGGCGGAGGTGCTGGGCCTTGCCCTCGTTTGTGACTGCCCGTTCTGCATGCTCCCTCGGTGATTGCTGAGTGCGACTGCACATTGGAGCGCCTGATGTGCATTGTTTATGAATTTCATGCGTTAGTTTGCGCATAGACTGAGTTTCTCTGTTTGAACACGAGACACGGTGATTAAAAGTGTGGGAGGGAGGGGGGTAGGGGTCCCATCCGTTCATTGCAGTCCTAGAAGGCAGCAGTCAACGCCTGTGTAGTCACGTCTGGCTCATGGCGATGCCTATTTTCATAGAGTTCCGAATGCAGTGAAGGATGCCACCCAAGTAGAACGCCCTCCAGAGGGTTGGGCGCTTGGCAATTTGGGGTCTACTGCGCATATAAGGGAGCTACTAATGCGCCAGATAAGGGCCTTTCCCTGTGCGCATAGGTTTCTAGAGAAGCCTCTGCCGAGGCTATGGTGTGTTTTTCAATTTACGCTCATCAGATGGGCGGAAAGCGGCGTTCAGCAGGGCACTCGAGCTTGGGAAAGGGTCCTTTAAGGAGCTTCCCGTCCCTCTTGGCGGCTACTGCGGCTTTGCAGCCGCTTTCTGCAGCGTCCTTTGCTCAGTTCAGGAAAGCAGACGCTTAGGCAACCTGAGCAGCACCAGCGGCTCTGCCCAGGCAGCGGTGGCAGCCAGCACACGGGGATCAGCCACTGCCGTTGAGCAGGAGAAGAAGTCTGCCATCCTGCGCACACAAAGGGATGAACGCAAATTACGCCTGCCTCAAGAAGACAAGGGTTCAAGGCATCATTTGAGAGCCGCTTTTGACTGCGCAGCACTGCTGCCGACATGCCAGCGTCTCGCGTGCGCAAGCGGTACAAGCCCTAGCCTATTGAATCGAAGCCTGGCGACAAGCAACTACTGTCGACGGCCAGAGAACCTCCCGCAGGCTCTTTGGCAGTCAGTTTAGAGAATGTATCGCTCTTAGGTGACGCCTTGGTGCGTGGCTGCGGCTGTTGACCACTGCCGACAAAGGGCCCCTCCCCCCCTTATTGCCCCTTCGCTCTCCCTCTGTGTGTGCTGCCCCAGGAGTTGGTAAGGCGGCAGATGCATTGATTCGATACTCCTTCTGATATCTTTTAAAAAAGCGCGCGAAGGATATTTGGGCTTTGCAAGTTTGGCAGGCATGGTGTGCCACAGCGCAGCGCGCTCGGCCCGCATGGCTGCTACTGGCTTCCCCGCTGCCAAGTTGCCCATTGCCTTTTGCAGGAAAGCTGAAAGGCTTAGAACGTGAGGCTTAATGCCAACAATTTCGGGTGTTACACCCTTTCTAGGGGTTCTTTGAGGGTTGAACCGCAGCCCTTTCGTCCTCTTGCACCAAGCCACCCATTGATCGCAAGAGGGCCCCCAGGAGCGCTCTTCTTTGTCGCATCCAGCGTCTCTCTCTTCCCCCCGAATTCCTCCCCGAAATTCATCCCGCAGTCTTCCGCTTTCTCGTCAAATCGCACACTCAAGGAAGCTGTCTGGCTCATCCACAGGCCGCGTTTCGCTGCTGATGCTGCCCCCAGCCGTCGTGGGCGCGGTTTTCTGCTCTGTTCTCCAGCGCCCTCTCCCCCCTCTCTGTTGCTGCAGCGACACTTGTTTGCGGCGACTGCAGCAGCCCAAAAGCATTCGCCACAGGCTGCAGGAGGAACGAGGGGCCTAGAGATGCCTGCCGAACAGAAGAAAAACGCCGCCGCCGCTGCTGCTGCCCCAACGGCAGCAGAGCGCTCCACTCCTGGTCGCAACAGGAAACACGAATGTTTCATATGCTTCGAAGGCTTCTCATTGGAGGACGAGCGCAGACCTAAAGTTCTGACTTGCGGTGAGCGGGCTCAGCGAGTGGGGAGCTGTTGCGTCTTAGAGGGGGTGGCAGCCATCGAGTTGCAGCTGCTTGAAGACTTCATCAAGACTTCAAATTCCCCAGCGAAGACGTGTGTGTGTGTGTCTGTGTGAGCGCTCAGGTCACTCCTTGTGCTGCAGCTGCATCTGCCAATTAATCGACCATGAAGCGGCCTCTTCGCAGTCTCTGTCACAGCTCCTCGAGGGGGTTACTGCTACCCGCGAGAGACTTGCCGGATTGCAGCAGCAGCTCCAGCAGCAGCAGCAAGGTCGCCTTCAAGGAGGCATGCTGCCGTTTGGAATGCTTGGTGGGGTCACTTGTCATGATGCGTGTGCTGAGGGTGTAGGAAGGGCGTTGCCGGCAACAAATGCGCTGATAGCCTCAGCAGTAGCTGCAGCTGCAGCACAGCAGCAAAAAAGACGATCGCTGCTTTCCGATTCTCTCTTGTCTGCGCCTCTGCGCTGCCCTTGCTGCCGCTGTCGAGTTCGCGTAGCCGCAGAGAATCTTGCGCTGCTTCAGTCCGCTGAAGAGGTGAGTCTGATCCTCCCGAAAGAGCTGTCTAGCAGCGGCCGCTCCTGCTTCTGCTGCTGCTGCTGCTGAACGCGCTGTATCAGGAGCAGGAACAGCAGCATCTGCTGCTGTTTTTGCTCCTGCTTCTTCTAGTGCTGTTGAGAGAGAACTGTACCCGCAGCAGCAGCAGATGGTGCTCCGTCATCCTGTTTTTTCAATGAATTCGCTGCTCCTGGCGCTGCCCTTCTTTTTGCCCTTCGCTTCGCCTATGCTTCTTTCGATGGAGCCTTTCCCTGCGCTGATCGATGCGACTCATTGCTGTTGCTGATACGCACAGGAAGAGCAGCAGCAGCAGCTCCGTCTCGCCAAACAACGCGAGCTCCAGCGATGCCTCCAGAGGCAGCGAGAAAATGAGGAGGACGCGCGCAGGAAGGAGCTAAAGAGGCGATTTTCACGGGCAGAGGAAGAAGTCTGCACGGACTCAAAAGCGTATGTGTCTTCCCCTATCCTCGGTGCCGTTTTCTTCGTCTTTTTGTCGCTTTTTCTCCTCGAGGAAGCGTCAGCCGGATCTGCAATCTCCTGAGCAGCCCTATGGCAAGCCTTTCTTTTCGCGTCCCTGTTCGTTCTGCAGTTGCAAATTCTGCAATTGCAAATTCTGCAGCAGTTGCAAACTTTGAAGAAAATCTCCCTTTTGCTCATGCGCAAGCGGCTTGTGCAGGATGTGCAAACTCCACCCGTGGCAGCCCGTCGTTGCCCTCTGTGGTTCGTCTTTTGCTCCTCCTGCTGTCTTTCTGCCATCCTTAGCTGTTGGCAACGTCTAAGCCTCTTTTTGCCCGGCATGTTTGCTTTTTGAAGCTGCTGATGCTGCCTTTTGTGCTTCTGAGGCTGATGTCCATTTTGAGCCGTTGCCGCTGCTCTCGCCAGTGCTCCTCTGCCGCATGCTTTCCAGCTGCAGTTTGTCGCTGTTGGATCCTGCTGCTCTTGCTGCAACCTGCTGCAGTGCCTTGCAGCACGTTAGTCTGCGGATGCTGCCTGGCTAGCGACTCCGAGCCTCACTTCTCCCACTCCAGAGTTCCGGTGTACAGACACTCGGCTGAAGCTGCGGCGCTGCTGCAGCGGCGTGCAGCGGCAGCCGCTGCAGCCTTGCAGGAAGTGCAGAGACACCTGGAAGGCCATCGCAGCAGTAGACGGAGGCAGCTCGAGGTATTCGAAAGGCTCGCTGCTGGTCCTTTTGCAGAGGCATGCACATGCGGTGAAGCGTCGAGGGAATGGCGTTGCTGCTGTGGGATCGCGTCTGCTGTCTGTACGGCGTTGCTGCCTCCGGCTGCTTCAGTGGGCAGTCAGTCTCTCGCCGTTCTCCACATGCTGCAGCGGTGTTGTTGCAGCATGTGACGCTTCTTTATTGGGTGGGGGAAGGAGGGGGAAAGCGGGGATTGGCATTTGCTCTCCCTCATGTGAGATTACCCCTCGAAGTGCCGGAGGCGCTGCAGAGCAGCTGCAGCAGCAGCTGCTGCTGCAAAGGTTATTCTCCTCTCCTTCTGCAGGCAATGCTGCCGCCTTGGGAAGCTGCAGCAATCCGTGTCTGCGATGTTTGCCGCAGCTGCTCGAACATGGAAGCCGTCTGGTATTTGTAAAAGCTTCACGGGCCCTAGAAGATATACGCAACTCCGCGCAGGCTATTATCCAGAGGAAAAGCGTAGGCAGCCTGCTGCACTGACGCTTCCTCCGCTGGCCGATTTAGTTGTAGGATGAAATTAAATCGCTAGTCGCTAGATGTGTTAGTTGCAGGGATGAATTTGAATCGCTAGTCGCTGGATGTGTGAGTTGCAGGGATGCATTAGAATCGCTAGTTGCTGGATGTGTTAGTTGTAGGGATGCATTAGAATCGCTAGTCGCTGGATGTGTTAGTTGTAGGGATGCATTAGAATCGCTAGTCGCTGGATGTGTTAGTTGGAAGGATGCATTAGAATCGCTAGTCGCTGGATGTGTTAGTTGTAGGGATGCATTTGAATCGCTAGTCGCTAGATGTGTTAGTTGCAGGGATGAATTTGAATCGCTAGTCGCTGGATGTGTGAGTTGCAGGGATGCATTAGAATCGCTAGTTGCTGGATGTGTTAGTTGTAGGGATGAATTTGAATCGCTAGTCGCTGGATGTGTTAGTTGTAGGGATGCATTAGAATCGCTAGTCGCTGGATGTGTTAGTTGGAAGGATGCATTAGAATCGCTAGTCGCTGGATGTGTGAGTTGCAGGGATGCATTAGAATCGCTAGTTGCTGGATGTGTTAGTTGTAGGGATGAATTAGAATCGCTAGTCGCTGGATGTGTTAGTTGTAGGGATGAATTAGAATCGCTAGTCGCTGGATGTGTTAGTTGGAAGGATGCATTAGAATCGCTAGTTGCTGGATGTGTTAGTTGTAGGGATGAATTTGAATCGCTAGTCGCCGGATATCTCAGTTGTAGGGATGAATTTGAATCGCTAGTTGCTGGATGTGTTAGTTGTAGGGATGAATTTGAATCGCTAGTTGCTGGATGTGTTAGTCGTAGGGATGAATTTGAATCGCTAGTTGCTGGTCGTGTGTTTGTATCTTTTGATGACACAGAGAAGTAGGCTCAAGTTGCTGTGCGGGGATGCGGCTTTTTTGTGTGAGTGCAGCAACAGGTTCTCGGGGAGTTGATGAGTGGCTTTGTCGAGCAGCAGCAAGCACTGCAGCAGGAGGGACGTGAAATAGAACGCCTGCTGCTTGCTGCAGAGGCAGCAGCACAGCAGCTGCACGAGCAGCAAGCTGCTGCAGCCAGCCTCATACGGGAGGAAGAGATCGCACAAGACGCAGAGAGGCAGCGGCAACAGCCGAAGCAGAAGAAGGCGCTTTGCATCAGCAGCAGCAGCAGCAGCAGAACGGAGGAGCAACAAAGGAGGGTTGAGGTTGCCGTGTCTGGAAGCGACAGTTTGCCTCCGAGACGCAGTGCTGCTGCCTTTGCTGCCCTGCTACCTCCAATCACTGCTGCAGAGGATCTGCTGCAGCAGTTCGACAAACTGAGGCGAACGACACAGCAGCAGCAACAACAGCTGCTGCACTCTTTCTTTGAAACTTCGGCTGCGGGTTTACAGCAGCAGCAGCAGCAGCAGCAGCAGCAGCAGCACAGCGATCGCGGGGATCTTTTGCAGCAGCAGCAGCTGCTGCCGAGCAGCTCCAGCAGCGGCAGCCTCTGTGCAGTCTCAGCTAGAGACTCCGAACTGCAGGTGACACCATCCACGCGATTACACCCTCAAGAGGGGATCTTTCGAGCAGCAGCAGATGCAGCGGCAGCCTTTACACCAGCAACATCCACAGGAGTAGAACCACGACCAACGTTTTTTGTACTACCGGCAGCAGTGGAAATCGTTGGCTCCCTTTCTATCCCTGAGATTCGCGTGAGGGAGGAGCTGTTCGCAACGACAGGAGGGACTGATGCTCCTGCTGCAGTTGTTGCCCTGCAAGCTGTTGTACAGCGAGCTGCTGCTGCTGCTGCTGCTGCTCCTGCTCCTGCTGCTCCTGCAACATCCGAAACTGCAAATGCTGGGATTTCTCGGGGAGACCTTTCGCAGCCGCCGACTGCGTCTCCTGATGTTGCTGCCACAGATCTCCCCGTAACAACAGCAGCAGGACTGTGCAGCAGTTTTCAGCAGCTCTTCTCTGCACCTGACACTGGAGGCGTGACAGCGGCTGCTGCAGCTGCTGTCACGCCTCTTTCTGAGAGTGCTGCTCGACCGACATCGCAAGAGCAGGCGGCACAGCATCAGCAGCACCAGCAGGAACTGCAATCTGAGGCGGGAAGCACTGCTGATGCAGTCCCTAAGCTGCGAGTAGCCGGCATGTTGCAGCAGCAACGCGAGGAAGGCGGGAGGCAAGAAGCGGCAGAGAATGTATACGAGAACCAGCTTCCCTCATTGCATGGCCATCAGCAGCAGGGAGACTTTGCAGGAAGCAGCTCGAACACGCCGTTCCAGACTCCAACAGCTTCTCCGTCGCAGTCACCTCGGCTGGGGGGCAGCAGCAGCAGCAGCACAGGCAGCAGCAGCAGCAGTACAGGCAGCAGCAGCAGTAACCCCTTTATCGCATGCTTCCGCCAGCGCAGCAGATCTGCATCATCTCGACGGGGGAGTGTGCGCAGCCCTTCACACGTGCAGACACCCCGGGATGCGGCTTTATTCAGCGCTGCTGCAGGCAGTGAGACACATCACCGCAGTTGCAGCAGCACAGACAACAGCACTGACAGCAGCAGCGCACGGCCTAATGGTCAGTCTCAGCAGTCCCTTGTGCCAGAAGAAGAGCAATATGCCGCTTGGTAGAGCACCGCACGGCACTCACTGTCGCTGTCAAACAAAACGCAGCCGCGCGAGGTTTAGATGAGGCGAACAGCATTAGTAGCAGATAGCAGCAAAGAGGGCCACCTGTGACTGCAATTGTGCCGCTACACTAGTTGGAGGGGCCTAGTTTCCCCTTAGGATCTGCTTTCACACTGCGTTTTGACCGCTTTCCGAGGTGCACTGACTCTTATCACATCGCCAATTTCCAATGCGCAGCTTCTCACAATGCAGCACAGGGCTTTGTAGGCCCTTAGCAAGCTACGTTTGAGGTGTACCCAACAAAATGCACTGTTGCATTGGGCAAGCGGCATCTTGAGCATCACTCTGCAAGCCCTCAGCACAGAGGCCATAAAAATAGCAGTGACACCGCAGTACGAACACCTGAATTCCGCATGCTGTTGCTACCGTCGCTCATTCAAGCCGCCATCAGGCAGATGGACACTGCACGGCTCAACTTTGTATCTGCTCGAACGCTGAATTTGTTTGAAGGCTCTGGAAGAGAGGACACTTACTTCCTAACTGCATGACGGCTGTGGATACAGGCTGAAACCTTTGGGGCTGAAAACCAGTAGGGGAGAATGCTAAGGTTTTCTCATTCATCTTCGCTCACAGCTTCTTGCAAAGTGGCGCAGAAAACGGGATTACTTCATACATTTCTCCAAGCATGTCCTGAAAGGCCCCTCAGTTCTAGCTGATGTGAAAACCTTAGACGCTTCATTGTAGCTACACAGTAAGCTTCCTGCACCAACTTTTAGTCACCATCACTATGGACCTGAGGTTGGCTTCTCGACTTTAATTCCACACTCTCGGCCCCTTCTTGCCGCCTATTAGCAATGCCACTTTATCTCTCCTGGTCCTCAGGAGTAGCTGCACACTTCTGCTAGTTTCCGTTCAAAAGCTGCTAGTTCTATTTGCCTGCAGAATCGTTAGACAGGGGTGGTATAACGGTGCAGCTTACGGCTCATCCTGAGACGCCGCACAGGGAGGGGCTACGGCCGCTCAGCCCTCTCTACTGACTGATGGCCAGTCTCCTCTCCGTGCACTCCCAGCACCTCCTCTCACAAGTACACCTGAAGAAAATAGTGTACTCACAAAGCCGAATATTCAGATCTTGAGGGCTCTAATAAGTCACAATCCTCAGCGTCCTCTAGAATATGTTGGCACGTGTCTCGCTTGACCGTGCGAAATCGCATTTTCTGCCTAAGCAGACCAACAGGTGCAAACAGACCCTCTGAGTACCTCCAAAGCATGAATTTCATCGATAATGGACAGCATAAGAAATTGAAATCATGGGCAAGACCAGCGGATGAAGCCATCCTCAGACACATTATTCCAGCCTCCATAAACGCCTTGCCTTGTTGCTGGTCCTACATTGAGCTCAATGGACTTCCTGTAGTAAGGGTGTGCTCAAATATATATATATATATATATATATACCTATTTATGCATACATGCGAATATTCCTGGGGGCCTGAAAGTAAGGGCTCGAAAAGCGTTTGTTTGACCTCTCCGAACTGGCAAGATTTGAAGTAGGATACGGCGCATTTCCCAATAGATGCAACCTTGCAGTGAGACTGCAAATATATGCGCAACTCAGCTCGAAGTTTAGTGCCTTTACGCGGTCCTCGGTGGTCCTATCCAGCTTTTTGCATGAAACCTCTCCAGTGCGACAGTGCACTAGGAGAGATAACTTTTAGATCCTCTGTACATTCAAATATACCCTTGCCCATCAGAAACGCACAGCGTCTTTAAGGCTTTTGTCCTGCAGTCCTCTCTAGCCTGCATCTACGCTTTTCGTTTCACAGTACCAAGCAAGCATCATGAGTGAGGCGCAACATTTGAAAGCTAGAATATGCTCTATTTGGCATTGCCGGTATTGTTTGATTAATGCTTCTTTCAGTTGCTGTAAAGCAGGGTTGGATACATGCTAGATGGGTGGCAATCGAGCTGCGGGCTAGAATGCTGTCCCCTACTCTGTGCGAAGGCGCTAAATACTGAAAGGGTGCACCCCTCGTTGAACCCCTGTTGTTCTTCACTCAGAGGCAGGAAATCCTGCAGGGTGGGAGGTTGACGAGAGCAGGGATATTTCTAAAGTGGGCTAGCGTTCAACTCCTTTCAGAGTTCTGACAGAGTTAGGAGGCTTAGAGGAGTAGGCTGAGCTAAACACAGTGTACCTTGTACTACGCCAGTGATTTTTAGAAATTGGGGAGACGTTGACTGTGGTTCGGCTTTTCGCCTATCGTCGTGTCTCGTTGATTGCAGAGTCGAGATGGTTCAACGCGATAAGTGTTAATGTTTCGTGAAAATGAGTCAACTGGTTAGCCTGTAAGAGGACACTGCAACGCACACCCTAGCTGTACCTTTCCCCTCCTGCCAGAACCCTCAGGAAAGAGGGAGAGACAACAGGCGGTCTCTCTAAAAAAAGACGCAAGACCCCCCTCGTAGCATTGTGCTGGTTCTAGAGCCAAGCGGCACACCTTACAGATAGAGACCTTTGAAGAGTATTGTACGACGGAGTCTTTTGCATGGGCTCCCGCAGGAACGCTGCATGCACTCTACGTAGTGTGGCCGGGCGCTTTTCTCTCTCGCCCCTGAGTAACTGCATCTAGATATAGCTAGCTGTTAGCATTCTACTGAATCTTGCGTCACTTCTACCTCGGATAGACGGACAGCGTCAACCAGGTTTTCCTCTAAATGGTAGACTGCCTTGTGTTGGGCAAGTTTGATGCTGCAAGAAGGCGTCTTCCACGGTTGACCACCGCTGTACTTGCTTTGACTTAGCAGAGCCTTGAAGTTTCTCTGCAGTGCCTGGGTTCCCCACACAGAGCACCTCTTCCCGTAGAACCACCCCTGGGGAACCACCCACCCACACGCGCTCTAGGGTACTTTGCACCGGCGGAGGAGATGGTTAAATCTGCCTAAAAGAAAGGTAAAGAAAGGAAGGAACGAAAATGAGGAGAAACGCAGCAAGAAACACCCTTCTTCGGAAGAAAAGCGCAGAGAGTTCCTCCTGTGTCTGCAGCATTTCCGAGCAGCCCCCCCTTCCACCGACCGACTGGAGAGGGGGCCCTCGTGTGTCTGCTGCCTGACCACTCCTGTATCTGGTTTAACAAGAGTTTTTGCTTTTACATCGTCAAGAATACGCATCTGCAATACATTTGCAGAAGGTGTACTCACGGCGCGCCGCCTGATAGCCACAGTGTCCTCGTTACCGACCCTTGCCCGCTGTACAGACTGCATGCAACATCCAACGCCAGTCTAGCGCTCGGGGATGAATCTCGACGACTTCGGGCTAAGAGCCTGAATAATTCAGGAGTCCTCGCCGGGGACATATTTGCTTCCTGCTCCGCGGTGTGTGTGGAGCACTCTTTCGAACTTTCAGCCCCTTCCGCACAGCACGCTCAGCCGTCATGGCGGATATTCGCAGCTTCTTTGCCCCTGAGGGTTTCACGACCAGTCAGGGGAAGGAGTTCAGCAATGCGTCGCTCAGCAACAAGGGCAGCAAGAGCAGCAAAGCCCGTGCTTCACACAGCCCTCGAAAGGCGACTGCGTCTGCGGCACAGCCAGAACGGAGGAAGTCAGCACCAGTGGCTGCAGCGAAATCCTCCAGACATCGCCGTGGAGAGGCCCCCGAGAAGCGGGGTCGTTCCAAGGTGACACCCAGGCCTAACAGCAGCAGCAGCAGCAGCAGCAGCGACAGCAGCAGCGACAGCGAGAAGAGTGAAGCCCACCAAGAGGAGTCTGATGGCACCAGTAGCAGCGAGGAGGAGACTTTGAGCCCCCCCAAGACTGCCTCTGCCGCAAGGAAGTATGCTTTGTTTTTATGCGGGTGTTGGTGCTGTAAAACACTTGGGCGGGGAAAATTTTGATGCCTTTGCTGTTTCGCTCTCTTGTCGTGCAGGGGTGGACGCCTACGCCGAGTGGTGGTATCGGACAGCGACGAGGAGTGTGCAGAGGTGGAGAGCCTCCCGCAGAGTGAAAATACTGGCGGCGGCAGCGGCAAGAAGAGCAATCAGCAGCATCCGCAGACGCAGAAGCAGCGAAAAGGCTTCAAGGGCACGCGTTGCGTTGTACTGGAGCCAGGGGAGTCTGAGAGCGAGGAGGAACAGCCGAGAATCCGACGGGGAAAAGGCTCTACCGCCCCAGCAGTCACCCTCGATAAGTTTCTCAAGTCGACGCCTTCTAGTGGTGGGTGTGGCAATGCTGGTGCTGCTGCTCTCCCAAACGCGGAGCAGCAGAAGAAGAACGCTTCCCAAAGGATCGAGGTGGACGTGGATTCATTCTTTGCCGCTGCAGCTACAAAGGAGCTGCAAAAACACAAGAAGAAAACACCTTCTGACGCCAAAGCACCACCAGCCCCTGCTGCCACTGCTGCGTTGAAGGGGCAGGAAGAAGACACTGCAAAGAAGGCTGTACAGACAGAGCAGCAGGCTACTTCTGTAGAAGATATACAGGTTGATGAAGAGCCTTGCACGGACAAGAAGGAGGGTAAGCGCTCATATCTGTGCATAAATGCATGTATTATATACATATATATTTACGCATTATTGTATGCATATATATCTATATATATATATATATATATCTGTAGGGTTGGAGGGGTTGGGTGTCTAGTCGGCAAGAGGCGTCGTGAGTGTGTAGGTCTTGAGGCGTGGCAGACGGAAACTTCCCTGTATGAGGCTCAGAGTATGTGGCTTTGTGTGGTAGCAGATGTTCGGGAAGATCTGCATTCTCCGAAGATTCGAAAGCGCAGACTCTCAGTTGCAGATGACAGGAGCATGCAAGCAGCGGCACCAGCCCCGAAGTCTCCGAAGCGCCTCCAAAGCAAGAAGCTGTGCAGCAGCAATACTAGCAGCAGCAGCAATAGCACAAGCGACAAGCCACTGGCTGGTATGAAGCTTGTCTTGACGGGAGTCTTGAAGCAGATGCCTAGAGAAGTTGCAGCGGAACGAATCGTTGCAGCAGGCGGTTCTGTTACGACTGCGGTAAGGTTTGCGCTGAGGCGTAGTTTGACCTTTGGGGAGGCCATGCGAGAGAGAGGCTGTGCTGCAAGCTGTTTGGAGAGTCTGTTATTTTGATATTGGCTTCCTTGGGGGGAGGCGGGGAGTCGCAAGCTCGCCTTAGAGGGGAGGAGCACCTGTGTGTGTTGTGTTTCTGAGGGGGTTGGTTGGTTGGTTGGAGTTGACGGGTTGTTTTACGGCTGGCTGGGAGCTTCGACACTTGTCAAGGTCGCTTTTGCAGTAGTTAGTCTGGAAGGCACACTTTGTTTTATCAGCAGGCTCAGAGGGCTGTCACGGAGTAGGGAGTAGGAAATGTCTGTCTTTCTGCTTGCATGTCTGTCTGTCTTTCTGCTTGCATGTCTGTCTGCCTTTCTGCTTGCATGTCTGTCTGTCTTTCTGCTTGCATGTCTGTCTGTCTTTCTGCTTGCATGTCTGTCTGTCTTTCTGCTTGCATGTCTGTCTATCTTTCTGCTTGCATGTCTGTCTATCTTTCTGCTTGCATGTCTGTCTGTCTTTCTGCTTGCTTGCCTGCCTTCCGTGGCTGCTGGCAACAAGGAGGAAGGGGGGAAGAATAACTCGCGTGGCATAGGAGTAGAAGGTGTGAGATGCATGCGCAGGTGTCTGGAAAGACGAACTATTTGGTAGTGGGGGCTGAGTTGGAAGACGGCCGGCCCGTGGAGTCGGGGATGAAACATCGAAAGGCTACTGAGCTGCAGCAGAAGGGAGGCAACATTCGCATAATCCGTGAGGAGGAGTTCTTAGAGATGTTGGGGGGGGTGGCGCATGCAGCATCCTCTGCGCCTCTGAAGTCTGCAGCAGAAAAAGCTGCCCCTGCAGCAGCGAATCGAGCTGCATCGGCAGCAGCGCTTCCATCCTTGCCAGCAGCAGCTGCACTTCAAGTCCAAGACAGCAGATGGTCAGTGTGGGCAGAGAAGTATCGTCCACAGACACCCGAGGAGTTCGTAGGCAACGAGGGGCCTTTCCAGCTTCTTCTGCAGTGGCTAAGGGATTGGCACGACGTCTGCATCAAGGGTAAATCCTCGATATACACTTCAGCCCCCCAAGAAAGGAGAGGGAAGGAAGGAGGGAAGTTGGGAAGGAAGGAGGGAAGTTGGGAAGGAAGGAGGGAAGTTGGGAAGGAAGGAGGGAAGTTGGGAAGGAAGGAGGGAAGTTGGGAAGGAAGGAGGGAAGTTGGGAAGGAAGGGGTGATGAAGGAGATGCAGAAGGGAAGGAAGGAGGGAAGAAATGAAGGAGGGAGAAAACGATGAGGGAAGGAAGAAAGGGAAGGAGGGAGGAAATGAGGCAGAAAGCGAATGAGGGAGAAAGAAAGGGAATAAGAAGGAAGGAAGGGAAGGACAGTGGGATCCGACTCACTCTTTAATCGACTATTAAAAGGCGAAAATTAGTGTATTCATAGTTCGGCACGTTCAAGGGGCACTTCATGTTGCATCTTCACTTTCTCTGCTATCCAGGTAAAAAAAAAGAAAATCTTAGGCCGCGTTTTTCTTCGGGAAGCTTTGCAAGCGGGATGTTTCCGGTATGTGGAAATTTCACGGCTCTGAACCATCTAAGATTATGAAGATTCCCGCTATCAGTTCTCCAGTGTGGCAGACTGTCTTTTTGTGTGTATATTGGACTGTCTCTCTTTCTCTGTCTCTTTCTCTCTGTCCGTCTCTCTTTCTCTGTCTCTTTCTCTCTGTCTGTCTCTCTTTCTCTGTCTCTTTCTCTCTGTCTGTCTCTCTTTCTCTGTCTCTTTCTCTCTGTCTCTCTTTCTCTGTCTCTTTCTCTCTGTCTGTCTCTCTTTCTCTGTCTCTCTCTCTTTCTCTGTCTCTCTTTCTCTGTCTCTTTCTCTCTGTCTGTCTCTCTTTCTCTATCTATAATCCCTCCGTTTCCTTGTGGCCTGTCAAGAAATCTGTGGTGTCACCTGCGCATTGCGAAAATTCTTCGAGTTTGTGCAATACGCAGTGCCCCTCTGTCATTTTTCTTACGGGGGTGTTGATTCGATCTTCTTCGATAGGCTTCCGTTTGTGCAATGCATGCTGCCTGTTGCTTGCTTTCTCTCTTTTGTTGCAGCCTCCTTCTCTCTCAATATGAATGCCCACTTGTGCTGCTTTCTTTCTTTTGTTGCAGCCTCCTTCTCTCAATATGAATGCCCACTTGTGCTGCTTTCTTTCTTTTGTTGCAGCCTCCTTCTCTCTCAATATGAATGCCCACCTGTGCTGCTTTCTTTCTTTTGTTGCAGCCTCCTTCTCTCAATATGAATGCCCACTTGTGCTGCTTTCTTTCTTTTGTTGCAGCCTCCTTCTCTCTCAATATGAATGCCCACTTGTGCTGCTTTCTCTCTTTTGTTGCAGCCTCCTTCTCTCTCAATATGAATGCCCACTTGTGCTGCTTTCTTTCTTTTGTTGCAGTCTCCTTCTCTCAATATGAATGCCCACTTGTGCTGCTTTCTTTCTTTTGTTGCAGCCTACTCTCAATATGAATGCCCGTGCATGCCTGCTGAGTGGCCCTCCAGGCATTGGGAAGACGACTGCAGCGGCAGTAGCGGCACGGCGATATGGCTTTCAGTTGTTGGAATTCAATGCCTCAGATTCGCGAAATAAGGCGCATATAGAAGGTGGGTGTCTCTACCCAGGAGTCTGGCAAGGGGAAGGAGGGCATGCAGCATGGGAGGCTGCGACAAAATCGTGCGAGGCAATCGCTGCTTGCGATTTGCGCGGGCTCGTGTGGGGTGTTTTCTGGAGGGGGAGAGGGGGAAAAGAGGCATTTGTTTGTCCCCCTTCATGCGCAAATCCTCTAGACGAGCTCTGAAAGCGCATGCTCTTGTTTTTTTGCAGAGCTGCAAGACTTAGTGACTGGCGGCGTAACAGTCAACTTCTTCAAGCTCGACAAGAACGGCAAAACAACGCCTACTGCCTCAGGCGCTGCAGCAGCACATGGGGAAGGCAAATTTCCGTGCCTCCTATTGGATGAGGTTGACGGCCTTAGTGGAGGAGACAGGGGGGGATCTCAGGCAATGCTGAAGCTGATAGACACGACTCGGATACCTATCATTTGCGTGTGCAATGATCGAATGAGCACCAAGGTAGGAGGGGAAGAAAGTCAAAAAGGGCATCAAAAGGAGGGGGAAGGGGAAGGGAAGGAAGGTCCTTGATCTGCCCTCTAAGGATTCTCGCTGAGGTAAGGGGAGAAGCAAACGATGCGCGTTGCTCGTTTTAGGTGAGGACTATTGCTAGCCGATGTTTGGATCTCCGATTCGAAAAGCCGACACTTGCACTTCTCAGAGCTCGCATGCAGCAAATTGCGGCGGCGGAGGACCTCGTTGTTTCCGACGAGACGCTTTCCAGGATTGCTGAGATTTCAGGTAAGAACGTGTGTTTGTGCTGCATTGCACTGCGCGTATTCATGGGTGTGTGCGTGTGTTCGTGCCTCCTCCTCGATACTTGAGGCGCTCCTTCTCACTAAGCACTGCATTGCATGGCAGCTGCCTTTTGAAGCTTCGTTTCCAAGCTATCTAGGATCTAATGCGTGAGGAGGGGTTGCGGGGTAGAACACAGCCCACGGAGAGGCTTGTGTTGCGCCCTCCCTGCTGGACGTCAAGGAAGGAGAGTTTCTGATTTGTGCCTTGCAGGGGGAGACATGCGTCAGTGTGTTGGACAGCTGCAGCTGCTTGCGACACAGATGCGACACCGAAAGTTAGGCGGAGCTGCACTTTCTGCTGGGAAGGACGCTCAAGTAATTTAGACTCCTAGGCCCCTTAAGCGGCGGATTTTTGTCGCGCGTGGTTGCTTCTTATATGCGGCATTGTGCGTTGGAGGAGGTGTGTCTGAAATTTCTGCTTGTTTGCGAAGTAAAACCCCCCTACCGAGTCTCAGGTGCGGCAGGGAGTTTTGCTGTGTCTCTGCAGGTGACGTTGGGCCCCTTCGAGTGCTGCAAGCTGCTGCTCGACAGCCGCACTGGCAGCAAAATGAAGCTATGGGAAAAGGTGGATATGTTTTTCGTAGATTATGACATGCTCCCCCTCCTCATTCAGGTACCATGAAGTTCAAACGTCTAGGGAGGGGGGGGGACGGAGGCCTGTAGAAGGCGTAGGAGCTCTTGAGCTCTTAATTGTTTGGATTGGTCCACATAAACGTCAGGGTGTATATACATTTGCATATATGTATATGCATTTGCATTCCCATAAAAATTAATAAATTAAGACACATCAACTTCAAGGTGTATATGCATTTGCATTCCCATAAGTAGTAATAAATTAAGACACATAAACTTCAAGGTGTATATGCATTTGCATTCCCATAAGTAGTAATAAATTAAGACATATCAACTTCAAGGTGTATATACATCTGCGTTCCCATAAAAATTAATAAATTAAGACACATCAACTTCAAGGTGTATATACATTTGCGTTCCCATAAATCGTAATACATGAATACGTAATACACATATTAATATGTATGAATATATTTGTGCGTGCACGCCATGCCTGCGATCCGTTTCACAGGAAAATTACTTGACTGCCATAGGCCAAGGGCTGCACCAGCAACTAGGGAACACGTCTTCTTTGCATTCTTGGGATTCCCATGGCACTTTGGGGACTGCTCCCTCACCAGAACTGTGTGCTCTAGAGAGCAGCGCGAAGGCATCACGTGCTTTGTGCCTGGCAGACAGAGCAAATGCAGTCCTTAGATCCGTGAGTACATAAACGTGGTGAACGAACGGGGTATGAGCGAGGGGCAGGCGGAGGGTGTCGAGTTGCGGTGTCACTGCGAACGTGGAGGTGACAACTTGGAGTGGAGGGCCTCTTGATGGTGGCATTTTCACAGCTGCGGAAGCTGCTCGTTAATATATGTGTGAGGGGGGGCATCTCTGTGTCTGCAGAACCAGGAGTGGTCTTTGCTCCCGACTATGGCAGCTTTCTGTTGCGTGGACGTTCCCGCGGAGGTGAGAGTCTGCTGCTTACGCCAGAGCAACAGGTCGCCTATGTGCACTCGTAGGGAAGGAAGGGGGGAGGGGGAGGCATATATGTGCATCCGCCAACTTCTTGGAAGCAAATAGGAGACATCTATCATCACCTTCATGTCGCAAGTTTCATCTCAACGCGACGCTGTTTAGGAACCGCCGATCCCGCTTCACTACAATCCTGCCTTTGCGACCACGAATGCTGCATGCCTTCTCCTGATGTCCTTCTCTTAGGTTCACAAGGTTGGAGGCTTTATCCCCAGAGTGAACTTTCCTTCCTGGCTTGGACGAAACAGGTGTGGAAAAAGGGCATACATAGTACACGAGAAACACCAGTCCAGAGAAAGCTTCCCCCAGAGTCGTGAATCGACCCCCTCCTCGAGAAATTCTTCTGGCGCGCTGCTCTCTTAAGGCCTCCTAGACACAAAACAACGCAGGCACACCTCTGAGTCACTGGGGCTTTTTCCACTTGCACGCAACTTGCTCGTGTCTGCATGCATCTTCTCGTCGATCACACGCGCATACCGCACAGTTTTGCATCACCGTCCGGTGTCTGTCCGTTTCCTTCGGTGCACATACCCCAGAGCACTTCCTTCCTCCTCGTCTGTCGTATTCAGTTGCAATACACACGCATGTATGTATTGGTATTCTGAGGGAGTTGCAATCCATGTGTTCGTGTGCGAGCTGTGGACGCCGTAACTGTTCGCACAAAACGTTTATTGTGTGTATATACACTCCACTCGCTACTTCGCTTCTGCAGTACCCAATCCAAAAACCGACGCCTTTTCTCCGAGTTGCTGCTCAACCTTCTGAAGATTCCAACCAGCGGCTCGAGTATAGGGGCACTCAAGCTTTCAGGCTACCTCGATGCCCTCTATGCCATGGCAAGCCTTTTCCCCTCTGTTTACGGTTGCCTGCGCTGCACAGTTGTACCCTTCAGCGCGATGTTGCAGCTCCTTCTGATCAGCTTGACTGGCTCTTCTCAGCGGCTTTGCTTCTAGGGGGGGTCGTGTTTGCAGGCTGTCGCTCCTTTGGCTTGTGGCGGAGATCCTAAGGCCACTGTAGAGCGTTTGAGTACATATGGGCTAAGGAGGGAGCACTTAGTGGATCATATGCAATCGCTTATGCTCAGGAAACAGGTGAGGCTTTAGGTTGTAGAGTGTGGAAATGGACGAAGCGGGGGGAGGGGGGGAAGGCGCAAGGAAAAAATCCCCTTTTCCGCAACTATAGACCGCATTTGGTGCACCGACATGCTCAAGGGCAGATTAGCTGCTCTCTCTTTCTCTCTGTCTGCTGCTAATACTGAGACGTCTTGGCATCTCTTCTCCCACATTTTAGGCGCGATTGTATGAATCCGTCGAGAGCAAGTCGAAGGCGGCATTCACGCGGCTTTGCTCCTCGCTGCTGCAGCAGCAGACGCAAATACACTGCTCAAAATCCAAAAATAGGACGCAGTCTCTTAAAGAGGTGATATATGCTACACAGGCTGACCTTTGATTTCACTCCCTGGAGGTGGCGCCTCTTCATTTTCCCACTTTGTGAATCTGCCTGCTCTTCTGTCTCCCTCTAGTTTCAACTTGAACGCAGCGCTACGTATGCCATCCTGGCGTCTATGTATACAAATATATATGCACTTTTCGTGCTTAAAAAAACATGCCTATGTGGATGCGTGCATGCACATGTGCTTATCCATGAGATCCATGGAAGTTTGGCCAAATGAGCTTCAAGCAGCTACCCACCACAAATCCTGAAATGCTGCGAAGTGTGCTTGCGCAGGTTCTGGAAGGAGACGAACCAGCTGAATCTTCCAGCATTTCCTCTTCAGACACAGAAGAATCCTCAGCGCAGCCAGCCAAGAAACGGGGGCCTCTCGCCAGCAGCCGGGGAGGGGGAAAGGCTGGGGCAGGTCAGAGGGGGGCCCCTAAAAAGGGGACGCCCAGGGGGGCCCCCAAGACAAAGGCCTCTTGTCCGAAGGGGACGGCAAGCAAAAGGGGGGGAAAGCGTACGGCCTAATTAAACAGGCCTACATATATATGAGCAGCAGTGCGTATGTATGCTTGTGCGTGTTCACATCATTAGCGGGAACGCGTGTAGGAAGTCTCGAGGTACATGCCGTTTATATGCGTATATTTCTCCACGGATACGCACTCCAAATGGTCTAGAACAGTATCCGTTCGTAAATAATACTAAATAGGTAGATTAAACGCCACATGGAGTTAGTATGCATGCCTATCGATACGGTTTGGTGAGCGACACGGGATCCCTTCTTAAAGCTCAGATCCGAATCTCTTGATCTTCAACAGTTTTAGCAGAAGTGGGTCTCGTGTCTCGTACGACTGCCTGCACTCTTTCTTGTGGAGAGCCTCACGGTTCGGGGCCTAAGCGCTACTCTAGCCTGCAGTTCCGCATACACCCCATCGATTTCCCTCCACGGCGAGTGCGTGGGAAAGCTAAAGATGTTTTTTGCTGTGGAAGAGGCAACCCTTTTGCGCATAACGGCCGTTACTAATCTTGGCACGTTCTTACGAACTTGGCAAGCCTACCCCGGAGGGGCCCTTGAAGGGCCCCCAGAACATATGGGTGTCGCCGGGGGGCCCCCCGACGTGTTGTCTAGAGAATGAATTAACGTTGTTGATCCCCTTGTTTTTGTCAGTTATTGTTCCTAAATATATATTTGAGCAGTAAAGCGGTCATGCGAGTTGGTTGCAAAGGGCAGGGGGCGGGTTCTGCATGCGGATTTCGATATTCGCCATGAGGTTCATGGGGTACTCGCTTGGGGTGAAGGGTATCGAATAATTGAGGCACGGCGTTTTTTGTACAGCGACAAGGTGCATTTTTAGCGCATCGTTAGACTGTCAAGGCTGGCACCTCAACTTCTAAGAAGAGTTCTTGGCGCTAGGTAAAAATCTCTTTCACCTCCAAGCGCCCTTCAGGGCTCTCGACAGAAAAGCGTCAATCCCTGGCCGTCAGGCAAAGCAGTGGGGTTGTGTTTCTCGCCTTCGCCAGGGAACTCTCGGATTCCGCGCGCGATACAAAGGGCAGTGTGTGTTTTCGAATGCAACTTCATGCCGCAAGATGCTTCTTTCAGCTCCTGCAGCAGCCCCCTCACAGCAATGAGCCCTTTTTTGGAAGCCTAGAGGCAGAGCGCAGCACTCAACTCCTCGGCTAACAGCCAGGCTCAAGAGAAGGGATTTTTCACACAGTGTAGTGTGTCGGGGTGTGTTTGCGTTGTAGGCAATGCTGCGAAACCACAGCCTGCGCTTAGTGGCGGGGGCTTCCGTATTTTGTGCCTCTGCATTTATGGGCTTTACTTATCGAGTTGCATCTGCGCCTCCGCCTGCTGAGGAGGCCCTTCCTACAGGTCAGCTAGCTGGCACGCTAGTTGGACTGCCAAGGAGTCTCCTCTGCTGCGGCAGCGCTGCCGCGCAACGCTGTATTGCTGTGGCTGTGCAGTCAGTCACGCTTTTTCTCGTGCCGCTTGCACCCTGTCGTGACACAGTCAGGTGTGGTGCGCTGTCAGAGGCAGAACGTCGTCGTATTTTCGCAACAAAGGCTGGAGGCTGGGACAGAGAGGTCTTCTTCCAGGAAATCGTCAGGCCTGATCCTCAATTCCCACACACACCCTCGTCTTACCCACCGAAGCCTTAGCTCACTGGCCGCTGATTTCGCATGCTTTCCGCAGCACCAACCCCTCTCATCATCCCCTTTGTGCGGTTTCGAGTATGTGAATGTGTGTATAACTGTCTGTGTGTCTGTGTCTATATGTCTCTGTGTGCGTCTCTGTCTGTTTGTCTCTGTGTGTGTATAAGTGTCTGTGTGTGTCTGTGTGTGTATAAGTGTCTGTGTGTCTATGTGTGTATAACTGTCTGTGTGTATGGATCTATGTCTATGTGTGTATAATTGTCTGTGTATCTGTGTGTGTATAACTGTCTGTGCATGCGCTTTTTGTTGGTCTATGTCATTCTCTCTGTATGTATATGTATCTGGCTGTGCCGATGCATTTGTGTATGGAGTGCAGCTCATGGGTATAGGTAGGTGGCGGAAGGAGTTGATACAGCAGGCCAAAGGGGATGTTCTTGAGGTTGCTGCAGGTTCGCAAAGATATTTCTCTGCATCTATGAATCCCAGCCCTTTAAATGCGTGCCTTACGTCTGCTTCACTTTAACAAAACTTGAAACTTTATCGCCATACTTCAGATGCAGCTCTATTTCCCGAGCCTCGCCGAGGCCCTTCAGCAGCGGCCTTGTCGCGAAACAGTAAAATCCTTTTTGAAAAAAGCCTTGTCTCCTTTGCACACGCAGGCACTGGGCGCAATTTCCGATATTACGACAATGCGCGCGTCAGAAGCCTCACTGTAAGTCCTCTTAGAGGCTCGTAGGCAGGATTCCCTCGATAGCTAGCAGCTCTCTCCAAGGCGCAAAGTCTTGCCCATTAGGGGGTGGCATGGACGGCTAAGTTATTCAAGTGGGGTGCTTAGTGCGACTGGCTAGGAGCCGAAGGGTCTGGCAATCAGAAGGGCTTGATCTCGTGAAGGGCAGGTAAGCGTTTCTCTTGGGGGATTCTCTGATAAACGTCAGAAATGCAACGCGCTCCACTTCCGCTTGCTGCGACTGCGTGGATTAGGTGACGGACTTTTGCAGTCCTATGGTCGAGGAGGCAAGGACAAAGAAAGGTTTGTACCGCATCGCTCCGAATAATCTCCCAACTCGAATTCAGCAGCAGCTCTCTCGTGCCTGTGCTGTGCTCCCACCGTGCATCCATGCATGCATGCATGCAGCTCTCTCTCTGTGCGCCCTTTGCCGCCTCATCCGCCTTCCGCCGCTAGTCATTTGGCCTTTCTGGTGTCTAGTGACCCTTCGCGTCTCATGCTTCGTGCCTGTCTTAGTTATTCACGAAAGGGAGTAAAGGCACACGCTGGGCGTGCATGCATGCGACCCCACGGCTGTGCACCCAGAGCCGCACCAAACAACCAGTCAGTCAGCGCATGAGGAAAAAGCGATCAAAAGTTCAGCAGCCTCTGCATAGCTCCCTCCCTAGGAAGAGACAAGCCCCACTCCATCTTTCTACTTCTGACTGGCGTGGCCACTCGGAGTGTCTCTTGTTTGCATTTCCAGGGGAACTCGGAACGATCCCTCACTCCTTCCGTCTTGCCAACGCCTGCAAACTGCCTGACCCGGCAGAAAAATACCATGCAGTTGTTGAAACCTTTGGTCCGCCTCGCCGTAAACCCTAGAGCGCCGAGCTGCATGCGATAGATCCCCATCTTTCGCCCTTTTAGTCGCAACACACCACCACCGTAGCTGAAACGATCACCAACCCCCACTCACGACACCTAGCACGACAAAGGGCCCCTTCTGCATGATGGCGAGGCTTCACAACATGTGCGAGCTTGATGCACAGCGCTTTGCTCGTACGAAGACCCTGTCAAAACTCTGAAGGAACTGCGGCGAGTGCTGCAGCCGGTGAGCGGCTTCCCCATGCAACGCTTTTTCGCGCTTTAGGAAGGCCTCTCCTTTCCCTGTCCATGGTGTTCAGAGGACCACCATGAGGGCTCATTGTATGCCCAAGGAGGCAGGGGGTGTGTTGCCATGCATGAGCGTTTGCACGGTATGATTCTTGTCTCCCCTTCGAACTCTGCGGGCTTCCTGGATTCTTTACTCCTAAGAACCCCCATCCCCCCTTCCCCCAGAGTCTTCCAAGAAGAAAAACCCGAGAGCAGGCTCGTGGAGAGCACTCTAAAGATGGACTCTCTGCTGCCTCGATACCATCTACTGCTTTTGCAATCATATCCCTCTGGATCGTTAGGGGCCCTGCCTTGGCGCTTGGCGCCTTCTGGCCTCTCAGATTTCGCCGATGTGACCAGTTTCTCCCTCTGCAAAGTTGTTCCGTCTCTTGCATATCGCCGTCTTTCGCCCGTTCCGCACCCACCCACCCCCTCCTTCCCTGTGCCTTCGTCCTTTTACTTTCTCTCCTACATTGTCGTTTCTGTCTTCTGCACGGTCCCTGCCTTTGCGTCCCCCTGTTTCTTACTCTGCTCTCCGTGAGATAAGCATCCGTACAAGGGACAGCCGATCTTTGTGCGTCTGCTCATGTGTGTCGCTGCCTCAAACTTGTCTCAATTTGTTTTAGGAGGGATCTCTTCTCTTGCTGGAGCACGGTGCCTCCTCGTGGCCGTTGGTAAATCTCATTTTATCCCGGGGTTGTGCGCATCACGTTAAGCAATTTGGATGCTACCCCAACCGCCCCGTAGTGGATTTGGTCAAACAGGTATGCCTGTATGTATGTACGTGAGTATGCATACATATATACATGTACATACGTATGTGTGCACATTCCTGCGACCACTTGTAAACCCTTGAGGAGAATTCATGGGGCCTAGCCCTGCAAGCTATCTTTGAACATTATTATGGCGTTCTAGTGGTTTCTTGGACTAGCTCTCAAGCAGCTTGAAACCAGTAGACGCCAAGCGCTCATTGAAGGGCCTCCTATAAAAGTGTAGATGGAGGCACGTGCAATGTCAGAGTCCCTAATAACGCACAAAGAATCCTCTGCTGGTGCGTACAGGCCGGATTCGAGGTCGTCAGTGCTAAGCGAAAAAATTTCGGTGAGATGGCTAGCCCTTTTAGGAATAACGCTTGGCAATAGTCCTTTCTGAATTTGGGATATGCAGATTACACTTTTGCATGTGTGTGCGCCTTCTACACCACTGCTGCTCCCTTGCCTATTTGTTTCACTAGCCCAGAGGGAGCGATGGCGGGAGCCACAGCTTACTGTCGGTGCTGCATGCGCGGCTGCTATCGCTGCTCTCTTTTAGGCACAACATATTTGATAGTCGCGAAGAAGGGCAGAGAGGAAACTGACGAAAAGTCAGAGGGAAATACCAAGTCGGATGGTTGACTCCCACACCTCCCATCGAGGTGGTGGTAGCTGATAGTGTCAGGAGGGTTTGAGTTCCCAGGGGCCCTGAGTAGGGACTGGCTTGCGATGCAAACTTCCCCACCACCCGCCATGTGGTTGTATCTGCTTGCAAGGCACCTGTAAATCGTGAACACTGGGAACTGTAAACAAAGAGAAACGTCCTTGAGGGAGGGTTGAAGGGTGGAAATGGGCAGTACAAGAGCCCCTTCTTGAGGAAACAACTCAAAGAATAGAGATTAGAAGTAGGCTCTAGTCTGCTGAGATGACATTCTGCTCGAGAAGGCTTGGTTAGAGCCTGGTAAAACCAAGACTACAGCTATGGGCCCCTTCCTGTAGCTAATTAGGTGCCTGCTTTACAAGCGGGATGACAGGACAAATTATAAGATAGCTGTCATGATCATTTGCTGAAATAAGTCTCCCAAAACCTTTTTTGAATAGGGGCTCACAGCGTTCTGAAGCGGCGGGTTGTGGAGATCAAATTGCGAGTAAAGCACAACACCGCCAGCAAATCTGCGTGGCAACCTTTTGGACTTGCATGCTCCGGGGAGGGTGGCACTGGCACTACTGTGATGACTCTAGGACTCTCGACTAGCAAATCCCAACTGAAAAATGCGAATAGTTTGTCCACAGGGCCTTCCTGTGCAGGGAAGAAAGGGAGAAAAGCGCCAACAACGGCGACACCTGCAGCAGGAGAATTAGCTCCAGAAATCTTCGGCATCGAACATTGGAATCTCCTCATCCTCCCCTTCCTCGGCCTTGCCCGCCCTACTGCCAGAAGCCGCTGAGGGTTCATTAAATTCTTCTTTATTAGAGCCGTCCTCTGAGATATCGAAGTCGATGCCCTCGCTCTCACTATCATCCAAGTTCTTCAACTTTGTGAAGATTGACGGCGGCAGCATATCATCGGAAACGTTTGCTGCAGCGAAAAACCGCTTCATCTCATCAAGCCTACTCTCTAAAGCCTCCCTGTGCGCTCCCACTGTTCCTTCAGTTTCCGCAGTCGCCAGAGCTTGCATGAATCTATCGACGGCTTCCTTGATTTTAGCCTCCAGTAGCGCTTTTAATCCAGCTTCTTCGGATGCCTGAATCTCTAGAAGCCTCTCCTTAATCCCTTGCGCAAGCTGCGCATCCCCTAGCAGCTTCCCAGACTCCTTCAGCCGATTATACACAGTAGAGCACAGGGACAGAGGAACAAAATCCATCGGCTGGCTTGCGGGGAGAGCTATTTTGGGGAACCCCTGTACTTCACTAAGCTCTCTCCAGAGGTGATGACCGACGAGCAGCGCCTTTCTCAATAAGAGGGCGAACACTGGATGCGCAGGAATTCCCGCCACAGCCTCCACGGCTTGCGTGGCTTTGTCGGCCGCGGCATGGTAGACTCGTGCGAAAACCATATGAGAAGGAACTCTCACACTACCGTCTTCTCCGAAGCGCAAGCCAGTAGTAGAGCTTCTTTGTGCTACCTCTTTGAGGAGCTCAGCTTCGTCTGAATGTCGCGCTAGTTGCGCTTTCATGTCTTTTGGCATATCCAAACTCTCCAGCTCGCTGGCTTTCAAAGGAATATCATTGAGGGCTGCAGCCTCCGCACGTAGCTGCAGCACTTCTATAATGTCCGCATACGCCAGCTCTTGAGACCGTGTGAGAGACACAGATTCTTCCTGCTCTAACCCCCGCTTTTTTCTAAGTTCGCTAGCAGGCACTACGAGCAAGAAGTCCAGGAACACCCCCTTTGTAGCGTGATCTCCTGCAGAGTTCTTCACCGTCTGCTCAACGATGCGGCCTGAAAAGGCGATATGTAAGCAATGACATCAACGCTTGCATACACCATAGCATAATGAAGATACACGTGCGCATGCGAAAACTTGTAAAATCCTTGCACCCTCTCTCCCGAACAGCTTCTCGGACATTCAGCGTAACAAGTGCAAAACACCATTCGGCATCTCATCACGCTGCTTCTCCGCATTGCAGCTTTTAGTTTTACAGAAGGCGGCTGACTCTCTTACCTGTCTTTCTTCTGAACTTCTCCCTCCAGCGCCAGTACTTCAAGCCGACACGGGGAGCATCTACCAGAGCAGCAAGAATAGAGACTATGGCGGAAACAGCTCCCACTGCAACGCAGCCTTCAGGGTCTCCCATCGGCTGAAGACCAGCACACAGCCAAGCACCATGAGTTTCGATGCTCCAGATTCATGCATCTGCGAGGCACTGCACCCAGCTTAATAAGACCGAGGAAGGGCAGCAACGACGCGTATGACGCAAAAAGCACAACAAGCGCAAGAAGACCATCATATCACCCATGCTAGCAACATGAGGGCGAAGGCAGGAGTATCCAACTGAACAACTGGTGAAGGGCCATGAAAAAACAGGAGTAAATGCAGCTACACACAAAAAATGGCTAGCCCACAAAAAGTATACGACGAAGAACAAAAATCTTCTCTCACCTTTCCATCAATGCTGCCCAAGAGCTGCATGAAAGCCGCAATTGCAAAGGCGCCTACAGAGCAGCCCATCAAGAGGCCCACCCCCTTTATGGTTTTGAGCAGAGGAGGACGGTCTTTATATAGCTTGTCTGATAGGAACACGCGAAACAAGTCCTAAGGCCACACGCCTTATCAAAATTGCATATACGACTCGCTGCCGCTGGATCCGAATTTTACTTTTGAAAGCGAAACGGAATATATTCGTATGTTCATGAGCCTTGCGCCCTCAAATCTATTCCTATACATCGTAAACCCTCACTACAATAAATTGAACCGTAGACCCTTACTGAGAGATGCAAGCTTTGCATCGATGAGCTCATCACATTTCAGTTCTACATTGCTCTTAGCCTCTGTCCGTCTGAGAAGGCAACTCCTCCCTATGATCCTCTCCCTTACGATGGCTGCCTCTAAGCTGCAACAAACATACCAAAAGTCTGCTCGACAAGGAACGTCATGCTCTGAAAGGAGAGACGCTGGACGTTTACGCTTACCCAAAAACCCAACGTCACGAGAAATTTTGTAGCTCATCGATACACAGAAACACATATCTACATACATGCATATACACCGTTCACTGCGCCTGTCTACGAAGGAAAACTCTGAGCCACAGTCAGGGTAAACGGTTTGCCGTTCGAGCAACAATCGCTGACTTCCAGTAACTCAGACCATTCGCGAGCGTCGTCCCCTCATGGCCGAAAAGGGAAAGGTGGCAGTAGCAAATGAATGGGTAGGAAGGGTGAAGTTGCAAAGCGGCAAAGGTGGAAGCCGCGAAAGGACGAAGGATACAGGAAGACATGGCAGCCAATACATGCGGAAGGAGAGGGGCCAGAGAGAAGGGGTAATGGAGGTCATAGACAGGATAATGGAGGTGGTGGAGATATTGAAAGCCGAGCAGAAGAGCTGCCGGGTAAGCAGTAATAATAATCTGGAGAGATAAGAGGAGGTAGGAGACAACAGGGTATCTAGGAACATGTAGGCGCACCCGTGGTATTTTGAGGGTAGAGACACGTAGCCGGCAAAAGGGAGAGACTGGAGTTTGAAACCAGCAAGAAAGACGGTGTCTCTAGGAACTTTTAGAACTTTCAGATCTGCATGCAGCAGGTGCTGCTTTTTGTCGCTTGAGGGCGTGAGGAAGCACCGTTCTACCAGGACGGTCACCTCCCAGGGGCCGTCCGCAAACTCTGCAGAGAAACCGCGGAAGAGTGGAGAGATTCAACTACAGCTTAAGGGTGCATGCCTTCAAAGCACGAGCTATTACTGCACAGAGACAGACAGATGGACTAAGGGGCGAGAGAGAACCAGGAAAGGCGGAGAAAGGGAGCCATTGACAGATGGAAACAGGCAACTACGCTGAGAACAGCGCAGTGACGTGGAAGAACGCGTAGATGAACGAAACGTGGAAAGGCAGAAAATAAGGCTGTGCACTGCTCCCTCTGTGCTTGCAAAATACACGGCAGAGAAAAAAAGCACTGTGGGTGCAAAAATGGAAAAGGGGAGGCAGTGAAAGAAGACGGCGAAGAAGGCCACAGGCGAACGTTGAAATGAGGCAGAAGGCTGACAGACAAAGACAAAAGGCTGGAGGAAACAAAAGCCCCAAAGGGGAAGCACGCGGAGGGAACGCCCAAAGGGGAAGCACGCGGAGGGAACGCGCATAATGGAAGCCAACAAACAGATAGAACCCGCTTCGATACATGGTATGGCCTAGCGTACATACTCTTGGGTGAATTGTTCCTTGCCTTAGTGAATGGAGCATATATGTTCACATGTATGTATGTAGCAATACATATATGTGCATAGGTTTGCGGCTTACTTGGCACCTTGACTGGCCATCCCTCAACTACCTGAAGCTTAGCCCCTTGATGCGGACAGACGGCGGTTCCTCTGAAGGTGGAAACATCTGCGAATACATCGGCAAATCTCTGGTAGAAAGAGCTATGAGAAATAGAAGTGTAGAAAGAAGCCTCGAAAGCAGTCCCATAATACCGTATCGGTTGTAGCAGCGTAACCAGCAGAGAAAAAGTTTCCTGCGTGCTGTCTGTACGGCGAACTATCGCAGGGATGCCACGGCCAATAGGATGGCGAACAGGCCTACTTTGAGGGCGATTGTTACCCCACAGAAATGGATTTAAAGCTGCCAGGGGAAGCGAGTCGGGGAGGATTGTCAGTTTGCTTCCATCTTCGCGGTGTACGTACAGATGCGCGTAGTACAGGCCGTCGTACACGTGAACATGACCGATGGAGACTAACATGGCCACGCCACCTTTGAAAGTGCCACACATGGCAACCAAAGAGTCTATATGACGTGTAATTAATTCACTTTAAAGAACACAAAGGCCTGCAAGATCTGTCATGAGTCTCTGCCTGCGTCGCTTTCATCTCCGCTACCCCATCACATCGGACGCTCAAGCTTTGCTAACGCCCACCTTCAAGACAGCGGACTTCATATGGTCCTTCTACATTGACCTTCAGAGGTCTCTCAACTTGGTGGACGGCTGTTGTACGGAGTTTCTTCAACGGTGAGCTGCCCAGCTCGGAAAGTTGGTCCGTGAAAACGGTGCCAACCGTCCTGGTGGCTACAAGGCGCTGCTCCTGAGAGCAGACATGAAAACGCATTCGAAAGACATATAGAGAGACAAGAATGCTGGACTCTCCACCAACAAGGCTGCTACACGGGCAGGCCCAAAAGATTCAGGGAATGGGCAGATGGCACGCCGAGGCTAACAAAAACTCGAGTGCCTTGCCGATTTCCAGTGTTGTGCACGTCTGAGGCTTCGTGCACACGAAAGCACGCAGACTCTCGTGAGCTCTTCCGCCACAACATACTTACCGGCAAAGTAACATTGGCATACTGAAAGGGCAGTGCCTCTCTTAGAGCGGCCACTTCATCTGCCCCGACAAAAACAAGAATGGAGGAAACAGGGGAGAGGCGGTCTTCCCATTGGGAAGGATCCGTAGCTGGACCATGCGTGACAGTTCCTTTTGACCATGCTCGAGCTTCTGCGCGGATAGCCAGCACCACCCCTACTATGCCTGCTGCTGCTGTGAAGAAGAAGAGGCGTCGAAGAAAGGAGAAGTTCCCCCGAAAAGGTTGGGGAATGCCAAGCGACGCACACGTCTGTGGCATTTTAAGGCTGCCGGGGGTCAAGGTGCTGCTGCTGCTGCATCCGCTGTTAGAAGTGCTACGCCTCCCTCTGTACAGCCAGTGGTGTTTGAAGCGGCCTTCGGTGTTCGCTCCTTGACCCCGCGTGCCGTGACGCTGTGGATCCACCGGCTGATGATACGGCAAAAGCCATGCATACGCCCCTCCTCTCAACTGCAGAAGCTCACCTAGAGCCCTCCTCTAAGCGGAAATGCAACCATGAGGGAAGACGGATTCAGCACACCGGGACAGCTGCGGAAGCAACCCCAGTACAGCGACGGGGAGGTTCCTTCCAGCTTCATGTGCTTTAAAGCAGAGAAAAATAATAACTACGGCGCAGGGAAACAGTAGAAGTGCTCAAGGAGCACCAGCCGCTTCCGCGGCAGCCACAGCAGCCACGATCGCCGAAGCATGTTGAGGCCTACGTGATCAGCCCGAGAACCGGGGGAGCGATTCGCATCTGTTGCATTTGTTGCTTGTTATTCATGATAATTTGACCTATTGCCTATAGTATTTGAGAGAAACTCTTGGCAGACTCAAGCTGAAGTACTGGGCGAAAGAGTTCAACAAACGCATCGGGGTACCCCCGCATCATCTGTCGTCGGGATCGATTACCCCCCAGGTAGCACCCAGCCGAGCTGCCGGCCGTATCTGCACAATCGCACCTCTCAACCTCTTTGAGCGCAAAATACGAAGCCGATCAAGGTGCTTCATGCCGGTGTAAGGGACGCCCCTGCTTGTCTTTCCAAGACTGGACAGTCTTGCGCAGGCAGGCCAGATATTTGCTGCCAGAGCTGCAAAGTGCCTATGAGAGGGTGTACTGCAAATTTTTTAGTGTTTTCGTGTATTCCCCGTGCAACTGACGCAGACTACTTCATAGCCCTCGTGGTCCGTGCCTGCTTTGGTCACTGCACCAGTTCCTTTTGCAGCAAGGCCCCGCTGGTGTCTTCTAGTTTAGGTAGGCGACTAAGGATGCATCTCCAAGCGGCTAACGCACGGATGAGCATCTAGCTACCTGCTTACGCAAGGTGTGATCTTGCAGATTCCTCTTCGTGCCTCGTTTGCGGGGTACCTGTATAGCAACGGTGATCAGCTAGAAAAATATACCGCCTACGCACGCACAGGCGTACGGCAGAGTGACACTCTATTAGTTCCCTTGGTTCGATTGAGCTATCGCTTTAGCAGATGCCATCACACCTTTGATGTATCACTGGTTTCTTGATTCCCCAAAGTCACCCAAGTACGCTGAGCTACTGCATACAACACGACCCCCCTCAAAGAGCGCCTAATGTAGGGGATTAGTGCTGATCCGTAGCAAGCAGCGGAGTCAGATCGTGGAGTCATCATAAAGACGTGGCAACAAGCTTGAGATCCTGCGCCACGAAAACGGTGCATGAACAACGGGGAGTTTCTGAGCAGAAGGCAGGGAACAGGAAAAGAGGCAACAAATTATCCAAACATCAAGCCATTCAGACGCGCATTTCGTTACACGATGGTCCTGTGCATAGGGTCTAGCAACAGGGGCAGAGAATACAAACAAAAGAGCAGGGAGGGGGCTATTCAAACCCGAGTCCCTTTAAGGAAGTTGGTGTGCAAAGGCGCCCCTGAGGAAAGTTTAATCTCTCATGCCTATGTATCATGAGCAACGAGAAAAGACCACAGTGTATAAGAGTGAACGTGCCCTGTATGTGGTGTAGGGGGGTATCAGTGCTTGAGAGATGCCCTTCGCGGTTGCTTCCGGGGAACCCACGTTCTTCAACAGCGCAATGCCCACGGAAACACAAGCTCTTTCGTTGACAGTGTCGTTCACGCCTCCTCACGAAAGTGCTGCTGTCAAAGCTAAATGCAAAACCTACGGCCCTGGCTTGCGGCAGAACTGCCACATATCTTTGCACGATCGGGCCGGCACATATCCGGGAAGGCCAGATGGCACCCGCCAAAGAGAAGAGCAAGAATGCAGTGCATTGCACTTACGTAGATACGGCCCACAAGTTGGCAGCATGCGGGGAGCAATGCTGCCGACTACCTCTGAAAAAGCGGCATCAGACTTCGTAAGCTTCTCCACATATTGTGCAGCAGCTTTCTCTGATCTCATGTGCAGCCGTTTCCGGTTTGAGCTCTCGCCTTGTTACAGGCCGTTCTCTGCGTGCCTCGCACTTGGCCCCCCTCTTTGCTTCGCAACTGCCATGTCTTTAAAAGTTTACAGTCGTCCTCTCGACTAAATCGGCTGCGCTTGACCCTTCCTCTTGGACGCAAGGTATTGACAGTTTCGGCTGGGGTTGAGTTCAGCGCAGTGCCTCATCATAAAGACCGAACAGCCCTAGCTAGACAAGGGAAGCAGTGGAGGCACTGCATCGTATACGTCAAGCCCATGTAGGCAATCGTAGATCTTGGCGGCTCCCCCTGTAAGACCTACAGCGTACGATGGGAAAGCTGCTCTTGTTCAATGCGAGGTTTTTGGTTACGGAGCAGAGAGCAGCCCGGCTGGAAACAAGAAGTGCAATCTATGAGCCTTAAGAGACGGCCATAAAGATTAGGAATAGCCGGCGCTAAAGACCATCCAGCCACCACAGATGCACAATCGGAGAAGTTTGAAGGGCACCTCCACTTTTTCGAGGAAATGCGAAAGAGGGAAAGCCCATCCTACAAAGGAATGGGCAGACATCCTATAATGTGCGGTTCTCCAACAGTATACAAAAGCAACACCAGGCCAAAAACAAGGCGCTAAGGGGGCTACGCAGCAGAAACGATATACGGCCCACACGCTATCCCGTTTATACAGCAATCGCAGCTCTTTGAGCGTTTGCAACTACCGCTTTCGTGATGGCAGCACAAAGCGATTTCGCTGAGCGCTCCAAAAAGCAGGGCGCCGACAAACAGTGCTTCTGTTGTTTACTTTCAGGGTCCATTGCCGCCTAATAACCGTATTCTCGAGGGTTTTCACGGCTTTTCAAGGGTTTATTGGGCTTCTCTTTTATTTTGGCGTTACATTGAGTGCCATTTCTAATTTTTTGCGGACAGTTTGAGGGGGTGCGTGTAGCTTAGGGTCATAGTCGGGCTTTCGGACTCTTTGGCTCTGTAGGCGTTCCCGTGAGCAGTCCTCTGGTTGACGCAAATTCTGCGGATTTGTTGCTTGTGTGCACCCAGAAGCACAAGCCGCTTGAGCGCCTATACGCAGGAGGCAAGCGTGTGGCACTGCTGCACTCTCAAACACCAAGGCTGCCACTGTCCAAAACCATAGGTCTCCTCCCCGAGGTACACCATACTCGAGGTCCCTTGTCTGCTCTTATGAGGGCCGCACACAAACCCCTAGTAGATGGAGTGTCTATACAATCTTTCCCGCATGATGTCGCAGTCTGTGGAGGTGCCCCATGACCTCGGGGGAAAAGGCATCAAGTAAGCGGGGAGGGGCATGTTTTAGGGTCCAGTTGTCCCCTCGGTGCCTAAGGTTTACGGTGTATGGTGGCCTCGTATCCCACTTGTGAGCGCACGCTTTGCTTTGCCTGTGGTCGTTTTTGCAGCCTTCGCACGCGCAAGCCTTTCGTGCATGTCGCATCCTCAGCATCACACTCCCGCTCCCTTTCGCTGCCCGTGTTCAATGCAGGGGTCTCTACACACTGACACATCTTTTATGTCTTGTGTTTTTAATTTTCGCATTCCCTGCATTTACTTAAAGACGTCCCTTGCTAGCAGCCTGCCCTGGGGCCTCTTCCTCATACAGTCGCAGTTGCTTGCAATACAACCGCTACTTGGTGTCGGCCTTCTCTGCGGCAGCAGCACCACCCCCAGCACCACAGTACCGTCAAATGTTGCTAAGCTCATGAGGATGCAGTAGCCTGTGCTTGCGTCTAGAAAGGAATTGACTATTGGCAGGAAAGAAGAAGCCTCTTGCAACACGGCCGCTACCACCTATGGCTAAGGGCCTTCGTAAGACCCCCCGCGTGATCCCCCGATGGTCACCTACTGCAGCTACATTACTGGCTGCCATCGAGAAAACCTTGTGCCCTAGCTGACTCCTGCAAGCGCTCTCGGATAGAATGGCAGTCTTAGCGCGTGGCAGAGAACCAAATTGAGGGCCTTCTTGAGTCTTCCCATCCTCTCTTCTAGGAAGACTTTGCCCACAACGACATCCAAAAGCAGCGTCTCTGAGGCAGAGGCACCCAGAGGCAGTTTCGCTGCACCTCTGGCTGCTGCTGGGTGGCATTATCTCTGGTTGTGGGTGGGTATGAGCAGAAGGGCATGGCAGAAGAAGCAGCAGCAGCAAGAGCCGATACCGCGTTTCACTGAAGATCCGAAGCGATGGAGCGAGGGCGTCTACAGCTATAACATCAACACGGTTGACCGACGTTGACTCGCATTCGTCCCTAACCAAAGCTGATTGATTAAGCAGCTTTTCTCCAGTTTTTTGGCACTGTTGTTGGTCGTACCGTACCTGCAGATTCGGTTGTTGCTACTCGCGGTTTGGTAACTGAGATGCTGCTGCTGCTTACGCAACAGCTTTTCCTCTAGCTTTTACTCGTGGCGTTTCGTAAGGGGACACCGTCCCTGCCAAGGCCGTGGATCGTTTTGCCTTAGCCACCTGACCTCGTGTTGGCATCGCCTTTCCCCTGATCGCTGGTGGTGCTGGTGAGGCCGGTGCGTCTGCTACAGATGGGTGTACACGTAAACTGTGAAGCGGCGGCTCGAGCACTGCTGCAGCAGTGTCTACAGTTGTTGTTCGTGGTGTAGTATAGACTGCCTCTGCAGGAGTTACTGCTGCTTCTGCTTTGGCTGCAGGCTCGTGAATTCCGCGACCAGGCGCTAGCATCCATGCACGAAATGCAACTGCTTTTCTGCGAGAATTTTTGCTGCTGCTCCTTCTTCGCCTCCTGCCGTTGCTGCAGCCGCATTTGCTGCTGTTGCAGTAGCGGGTGCTGCTGCGCCCTTACTGGCCTCCTCAGGATGGCATGCATGACTCTGAGGATAACTTGGGGTAGTTCGGGTGTTTGGTCAGCGATGGCAGCGGCGGCTTCCCGGATATTCCTTGGAGCGTGCGTGACGAGGCATCCTCAAAGGAGGCTCAGGTATGCAGCAAGGCAGCAGAGAGTCTGCACAACTCCTCGCCTTCGTTTGCTTGCAGAGCTGAGCCACAGGAGGGCCTGTTGCTGGCATGCCACAGCGCTCAGTACCTCCAGGTGGCCAAGTGTCCTCCCTGTCAGCCTCGAGATAGCTCGAGAAAGCGGTGCAGGAACGGTGAGTTGCGTCAGGGAAGTAGCTGCAGAGCAGTCGGTCTCTGAAATAGGCCGCTTTAAGGCGCAGCAAGGACATGAGTGCCGCTTTTGCATAGTCTACTTCCACCGGCTGGCGCTGCGGGTGCCGTATCCAACGCACCCCACGTACTTCCCGCGTCAGCCGCTCTTGCAGCTGCTGGCTATCCCAGGCCTTCTGCTGCTTCCCTTCTGCTGCTGGCGCGGCATGGTGCAAAATCGTGATTGATCACAGCGCAGAGCGGCAGATGATGGGTGGCTTTTCTGGGGTTTGGGGGCAGTACCTGCCGAGAGAAGAGGGAGGCCGCCTCCCGGCAAGGCGCGCTAGAGCACACCCTGCAGCAGCCTGTAGCAGCAGCAGCTGAGTCTCTGTCCACGAAAAGTCTTGCTGCCACTTCTGCTCCCCTAGCCGCAAGCGCTCGGTTAGATCCTCCTGGCTTTATTTCAGCTGCTGACGCGCCTACCGCTGTGCGAGCCTTGTGGCGTGCCGGCAGTCCAGGGAGATGACCGCGACACACTTTGCAACGCACTCGCATGCGGCCAGCACTACCCTCTGCTGAAGTCGCAGCAGCTATTACTGCGGCTAAAGAGCTTCGCTCGGTACTGACCAGCCAGCCAGAAGCCTTAGAAACCCCTGCCTTGTAGCTCTCCAGATTCCCAAAGAACTCTTGCAATGGCTGCACAGGCTCTTCTTCCGCGTGGTGCACGAGCGCCGCATGCGCCGCATGTTCCGCGGAAGCCTTCGTGAACCTGACCTTACTTCTGAGGCCCCTAACCGAGTAATATAGCACGTGTATGAGGATCTCGTAGGGAGTAACCTTGGCAGCTCTGCAGCGCAAGAGGCACTGGTAGAGCAGGTCTCCGCTATGGAATGCCAAGCGCTACCTTCTCCTACAGAAGCCTATTATCTTGTCGGTCGCTACCCTAGGAGTTCTACTGGAGAGACTTGATACTGCACGCAGCATCCTCTCAATCCCACTAAAGGCGACCATTTGGTCTTTTAAAGCCCTTTGGTGTGCCTGCTGGTGCTCGTGTTGTGGCCGGGCTTGTTGCAGCTGCTGTTCATGCAGGGAAGAGCGCCGCTCCTTTCCAAAGTGTGGCTGCTGTTGGAGAGAATGGCCTAACTGCAGCCGTTGCTGACGGCGATTGCGCCGCTGCAGAAGCTGCTGGAAGATCGGCTGCTGCTCAGGAAGTAGCTGCTCTTGCTGCAAGCCCGGATGCCGCCGATCAGGAAGCACCGAAGGCTGCTGCCCATGATGGTATTGCGGCAACTGCCAGAGCTGATGATGCACGAGCCGGCGATGTGCTCGCATGCTTCCATGTTGCTGCATGTGCACGTGGTGATCCCTCAGGTGTTAGTGACTTTTCTGTACCAGCATGAGCTGCCGCTGTTGCAGACACTCTTGCTGGCACAGGTGCTGCTCATGCTGCAGTAGTTGGCCATAAAGATGACGCTCCTTCTGGTCCTGGCGAGTAAGCGGCGATTGTTCCTGATACGCCTGCTCATGGCGCGTTTGGGATGCTGGTCTTCTTGCTAGTGCTGCTGGTGTCAGCACCAGCAGTAGCGTGGCATTCTTTCATCGGGCCCTAGGAAAGCAGTGGTGACAGCAACCCAATGATTCCCTTCTTGCACCCCTATTCGTTCTGGATGGTACAACCGGTAATGCCAATAGGGATGCTCCTGCTGGTGATGGCAGTGAGGGGAAAGCTGATATGGTTACTCTTGCCGGTGCTGCTGCACTTGCTGCTTCAGCAGCAGCTGCCGATCGAGACATCGTGGCGGGTCGTAGGGTGCAGTACAGTGGGTCAATGAGCGCTGAACACACGTGCTACTCTAAACGGGGAAGGTACACGCTTGCTCTTGCAGGTTCTGCTGCTGCTGGTGCTGCAGTGGGTGATGATAGGAGTGCTGCTAGCGCTGAGATACCAGCCACTGGTGATGCTGTTTGTGTTGTTGTTGTGGCCTACTGGCAGCTGTTCTTGGTGTCGCGGTTGCTGCTGGGGATGCATCGGCAGGCATTGACAAGGATGGTCCTGCTGCGGGAGCAACCGCTGTAAGCGTTCGACATGACGTGTAGAAACGTTTCTGCGAAACGCTCAAGTTTGCATTTTGCCTCTCCAGTTTGCGCCCTCGGGTTCTTCCGTTGATGCAGATGCTGCAGAGGCCATGCTGCTCGTGCTTCCTTTCTGCTGTTGCAAGGACTGCAGCATCAGGCTTGCCTGTCACCGATATGCTATTGGTCCTTAAGTTTCAGCAGTAGCAGTCGTTTCTGTTGCTCTTGCATTGCTCTGACTGCGCCTATGAGTCCTCCAGCAGGACTGTCTCAAGGCAGAGCGATTTTTGAGCTGTTTTGTCCATAGCTCTCTGTACTCCAGGCAACAGAGATCCAAAGGGGATTCATGGCGGAATCGCGGCACGTAGGAGAGCTGTCCCGAGACCTTCTCTATTCATGTGACCACTGAAAAAGGAAGAGGAACACGCGGGTGCACTACACGTGCCGCCTGGTCAGTCAGGGGCGCCTGCCTTCGCTGAGGCTTAGGCTGGATTTCGACGGCTTCCTGCATGCTCTTATAGCTCAGAACAGTCAGGGAATTTCATGGTCTCAAGTCCTCCGGAAAGGGGGGGCCCTGCGTGGAAGGAGCCAAGGGGCCTTCCTGACGGACTGGTGCGTTTAGTTCTCGACGAAAGAGAGGCTGGGGGCAGAGGGGCCTTATTCTCTTTTGTGAGGTTTTTTCAGATACCACAAACGCCATCCAAGTGTTTCTCTCGTGGGAGCCCACGCTGCACGGGATCAGAAAACAATAGGCGGATTCCATGGGCGTCTGGACTTCCCAAGAGCCTCAAGACTGCGACAGTCCTGGTGGACGACGAGTGCCTTCCTGCAGGCACTTCGAAGGGGCCTTCTTATTGGCAGTCTAATATGGCAGCCAGAGGAGCGGGGTAGAGAGTAAAACGCTTTTCCTGAGTCCAAGGGGCCCCCTGTAAGGGTATGGGCTGCTGGGACTTTTCTTAGTCATGATGCGCCGTACCGGCGCACGGGGGCCTCCACTGACCCTCAAACTCTTAAGATCACCCCTTCAACAGACTTAGGATATTTTCTGGAAGTCATTAGAGCGAGGGGGCGGTACCGTGCGGCCACCTTGGGGTGTAGGGGGCACCCGCGGGGATGCGGGGTGCCAGTCATAGGAAGAAAGAATATTTACAAGGCGCCTTGCATGTGACAAGAATTATTGAGGGCTGCAAGAAGGCTAGAGGCCCAGAATTTGTGGTATGAGTGTTCCTGGCTCATTGCCGCGAGTGCCAGGAGGCCCTGACCATGTGCTCTGGACCTCGTTACGGCTCATAGGCGAAGCAAAAGATGTCACCTGCCACTCGCAGCTTGTACGGGCTGTGCAATAGGAAAAAGAATGCATGGGAACAAAGAACAGCCACATGAGCGGCAACACGCGCAAATCGGAATCCGGAGCAGCAGCATATAATCGTATTCCTCAGCAACACCTACTCTACTCTTCTTTTCTGCCGCCACATTGAGACCCCATTGTTGCAGGTGCTATTTTACGCACAAAAGAAGGCTAAAAGAAGCATTTGCAGAGGCGCGTACCCAATGTAGCCTGTGGCTCTTTCACGCGAATCAGGGAGCAAAACTGGAGTAGTAAGTGACCTCCTGCTTCAATAATGGCACTACAGAGGCCGAAACCTCCTTCCCTGGCCATTAATTCTTGAATCTACGTGAACCAACTCACAATTACTTAGGATTTAAGCTGTACGTATCTTATAACTGTCCAATTCATATATTCTCAATCCTGCTCCCGCCAGGTCCGTGGGGGAGGTCACCGGCATATGGATTCCCGGGCCTGCCTCAAGGGTTGCACAGACCAGGCACAGCCAATAACAGCCTGGATATTCGGATAGCAAAAGCAAGAAATCTAACACCTCTTGCTAAAAGAAAAGATCGGGCACTGTTCTTTCATGTATTATTCCAGGTTGTAATTCTTCCTCCATTAAGCAGAGCCAGTCTCCCGGCCGATATCTCCTCTGCTGCTTCATGGAATCTTCCTCTCAGTGCCTACTTCCAAGCCTCTCCTTTCATCTGTTCATGTGCGCCTTCTACTTTGTGTGCCTGCGTACATATCCCTATTGGTATATGCCTCGCATGGCCCTTCGCATTTACTGACCGTCACTCGCTCGCGTCGTTTATACTCCCGAAGAGGCATCGCTTTCCTTCGATTTCTTTCTTCAGCTTTCTATTTTGCAAGTGCCAGGACGCATACTGCAGCCATCCGTCCAAAACTGCACTTTACTAGACAGATTCTGCATCGATCACATCGAGGGAGAGAGAGCCCCTGGACGACTCCACGCGCATTTGGACAGATAGGTCTAGAGTGAGGCCCCAGAGGTAAACGCTAAAGTGACCAAACCTTGGATCGTTTCGCTATGAGGCCCCCCTGTGTCCAGATTGACCCTCTGTGTATCTTTGCCTGTGCCGAATCCTATTTTTACGCTCTAGAAAAGCGTTATGGCGATGAGCTTTTACCCTTGACCCTCTTGGAGAAGCAATGCCTTGGCCTTGTGGATTTCAGTCGTGACAATTTGAAGTGTTCCTGTCTACTGCTTTGATATGCACCTGGACGTCCCGGATACCTTTGTGTTGGAGGGATTCCAGATTGTGCGAAGACCGACCACCTTGGCAACAAGGGGCACATGGCATCAGGAGAACATGTGGTGGGAGTTGCCTTTCGGTGAAACTCACACTACCCTACGAGCTGCCGTGGCCGTTTGTGTTCATAGTATCGGAAGGGCGCAAAGCACCCTGCAGTTCAAACCGTAAGGCCCGTGCAACACTGAGAGCGGCCCAGGTGGTAGACAACAATACATCATGGAGACCGCAAGTCAGGAAATCCCACCTATGAGGGGGTTTGTACATATATATGCCGTCATTCTGGGGGCAGAATATAGAGGATAATCTTGGAAAAGAGAGTATACATAGTATGCTGCCCTGTGCGCTCAGGGGCCCCACATGCCCCTTGTCTTGTTCGGTGTCAAATTAAACGGTGTGCTACTGCAGGATGTACGAGACTTAGCACTCATAGCAGCAGCTGAGGCGCGACTAGCATCAGCTACAGTCAGTTTCCCCCTGGTAAATGGTAGCATTCTGAGTGCGCATTCGAGTTGTTCAACGTGTCCCTGCCTCCCCAAAGAGCCGTGTTTCTTACTGCGTGAATGCGTTTAAGGCGTTGCTGCCTAAAGGCACACAGGAGCCCCAAACGCATGCATAATAGCAAGGCACCAGGCCAGCCACCACTTGAACCCATGAAGGAACCGAATGCGGTAGAGTAAAGAAAAAGGCAACCAAAGTTTGCGTTGTCGGCATTCAGATCTGAGTAACGTTGCACACATTTTCTTGCTGCCAGACACGCCCTCCCTTGACCCTGCCCCTTTTGTGCTGACCCTGCATGCTCCGCTCGGTCATGAAGGTGCACCCCCAACAATTCTCAAAGAGCGTCAGGCTTGTTTGTTCGGTGACTCGAACCCAGAAACCTCCGCGAGGCAACCCTAAATCGTAATGAATGTTCTCGTATTCCACTAGCCGGGTTAGCAGCGTTGGAAGTGCACGGGTTCACTGGCATCCTAAACACTAAACCTCGCCACCACAAAGCCCGCCTGCTACGGCGCGTGTGGACCAGATGAAAGGGAACGCCGCATTCTGACGTTTTCACTCGGAGTGGCCCTAGAGGCAGTGAAGCTTCGTGTTCACCCATATGCAGCAGCAAATCACCACCTCCGCTCCTTTCAAGACGGCCTTCTGCCACCACAAAGAAGAAAGAGCTAATCCAGATACCTAAGACAGTACTAGGCCTGAATCAGAGCTGCCTGTCGTTGCCGGATTCCCCCCTACTCCTACAAATACGCAGGGCCTCCCCCAACAGGAAGACTTTTCCGTGACAGCCGCCTACGCAGGGGCAGACAAAAGGGTCCAAGTGCCCGTGCAGGCAAACGTAATACGTAAGCCCTCGAGAACACTTGCTGCAGCAGTAAAAATGGACTAATTTAGCCGGCGGTTTTTGAAAAGAGAGAAAAGGATCGCAAGTTGTCACTCTGTCATGGCTCACAGTCACCAACAGGCTCAAGAAAGCGCAGCAGGAGAGACGCATATTGGGGCGCTGCGGCTCTCTTGGCTCGCCAAAAAATGCAGCATTCCCCACCACATAAAGACATGAAAGCACACCTCCGAAGAATTGCATGAATCCACAACCCCCCCTTGAGCCCCCTATCTTCACTGCTGCCTAACTGCAGCGCCTGCCATGCGTTTCTTCCTGCCCTTGAGATGCTGCGCACTCCATTTTCTCTGCTTAGAGCTTGTTGAAAGACACAATCTCTGCTGACTGCACAAGGCCCTCGGGTTCTTCATCTTCATCCTCTTCCTCTTCCTCACCCTCCTGTCTCTTCCTAAGCTGCTCCTTCTGCTCTTCATTCATTCCAAGAGCCTCCAGCTGATCCGTGATCTCAGTCGTGTTCACCAAATCATCCAAAATCACGCAAGATAGCTGAAGCTTGTACAGCCCAAAGGCCACCGGAACCTTCTTGACAGCCTCTCCCCATGTCAAGCCCTCCATCGTGATATCCTTTGCCAATCGCACGATCTCATCCAAGTCACTGTCAGCACCTGTAGAGAGGCCACCCACAAATCAGCACGCACATCGCCCGCCCCCCACATAAGTACCATAGTTACGGCGCATCCATCGAGAAGTCGCAACAACATGCACGCAAAAGACGAAACCAATTGTAGCAAGAGATCTGGCAACGCGCCAAGAGCGATACAGATTCTGAGGAAATGTGCGAGCCGAGATTGTACAAACCACAAGAGATTTCGGCAGGGAGAGTTGCAGGACCAAGACAAAGGCCATATATATATATACATATATTGGGAGTGAGCGCGTTATGGAAACACACACTCTCGAAGAAGAAGCGAAACCGAACCAGATGTGGACAGGGTGACAGCAAGAGACACGAAAATCTGTTCAACTAGATACCATAGGGCGACATCTAGCAGCTACGTGCATCGAAGAGGAAGAGAGGGCGGGGGGGAGGGGGGGGCCTTACTGGCTGGTTTGACTTCGATAACAAGGGAAGACTTGTTGATCACTTCCTTCTTCTTCTTGCCTGCCGTTTCTTCCTTCTTCTTCGCCTTCAGCTTTTCCAACTCGGCCTCGTCGTCATCTCCTATGAAGGCACACCAACAACAGACACAAGAGGCGTGAAGGCACCTGAACAGAGCCATCGAAAGGCGCAGTACCCAGCAGCGAGGGCAACCCCATTGGGAAATGACTGCTTCCTGATGAATGCTTTCTCTCCCAATCAGTCCACCCTTCGAGCACCCCCCTCTCACGCCAGGAAACACCCGGTGCGTTCGATGATGCGGGCTCCGGTGTCGTAGGAAATTATCGAAGGGTCGCTATAGGGCTTTTATGGACGCAGATGTGGAATTGCCATGCGTCATGCACGCACCGAAGAGATCGAAGTCGTCATCATCTTGCTGCTTGGCTTCTTGCTTCAAGCTGCCTTTAGGCCACGAAGCTTGCTCGTTTTGATGGAAGGAGGTGATGTGCTTGTACCAGCGGAAGGCATGCGGCAGTTTCGCAGCACTGGGGGCACCCAGCATCTTTGCTGCCGTGGCAACATCGTCCTGAGTTGCGGTGTATCCACTAATGTACGAGCGGGGCGCGAGATACGCGTTCAGCTTTTCCAGACCTGCGTCAGATCGCAGATTTCCGAATTCTGGGACTGTCATTTTCGGAGGAATTCAGCCGGTGAAAGGGGGTCCGGGTGGAGGGAGGCGCAGGCGGGAGGAGCAGCTGATAGGAAGAATCGCTAGCGCTTGAAGGCACAGGAAGGATGAAATCCAGCAGCTCAACAAAAGGGGAAAGCAGGCCGTTCGGTGTTCGCGCGAAGAGAAGCATCCAGACAAGCAAGTAACCCGAGACATCTGCCCCACTACGCCTGCAAGTCTTTGGGGCTGCCAAGTTACTGCATGCCCAATCTGCACTGCCCAATATCTGAGAGCCACGGGGAGGTAATAGGACACTCGTTTGCGTGAACTATACCCAATAAGTCGAAGGGTTTGTGTTTACTCAGACCCGTTAGTTAATAGGCAGATGGACCATCCCACGGTTGCCTCCATCCCTCCATGAACACGCTGCATTCACACTACCTGGCGGTGCGTCGTATGCGCTCGCTCCACCTGCTGCCCAGCTGACTTACGCTATAATGCCGGAGGCCTCTACCCACCATAATTTCGACAGCACATACAGTTTAGAGCTATTGGCAGAAAAAAACGCCCACTCCATGTCATTTTGCTCATGAGGTTGAGCCACTCTGGAGAGCACGAGAGAATCACCGGCCGGGGAACAAGCGGGGCTGTTCTCGGGGGAGAACAGTTGCTTCGCCGTAGAGTTGCAATAACGGAAATACCCTCCAGCGGAAATTTCCTTGTCTACAGCGTATTATTATATTAAGTGTGCAATTCTGCCGGATCACCTTCAGCCTAGGTGCAACAAATACACTTGTAACCCAGATAGATCTCATGCCGGCTGCCACCCCAGGAAGCAGACACTCGACGGCTCCTACGTTCGCTTCTCCTGCTTTTGTCGCACCCAATAGTGTATCCCAAGAGTCACCTATCCGCTAAACACCTTCCCTTCAGCAGCAGCTGCTGCACACACGGCAGCGATTACTCAGTCTTGCTCCTCGTTTTCAAATGGTCCTCGAGGGTCTCTCCTTCGCCCCCGAGGCGCCGTTTTCCCGTAGCGTATGTGCAGCTTAATTTCAGTCCCCTTTGCGCACCATTGACTCTCCTCTTCCGCTCCCCGCTTTTATCTACTCCACCGCTCGAGCATGTCGTCCTCTACACACCAGCCTCACGCCTCCCGTCCCCCAACCACCGCGCCTCAGGGAGACAACGGGGGCAGTGCAGGGGGAGGCAGTCTCGACGCGAATCTTGGAGATGCAGGGGCTTCTGGTGTTCATTCCCACCACCACGTGACTGTGAAACAGACCACTGCGGCTACCATCCGGCAAAGTGCCAGGGAGGCAGCGCTGCTCAGCTTGCGGAGGAGCCACAGGGAGCGCGCGCTCGCCCTCAAGCGGATCGAGCAAGTCCTCCCCGGAGATGTGCCTCCCCAGCCGCAACCGCTGAGGCACCTCATGTCGAAGCTGTATTGCCAGCTCTTGCTACAACAACAGCAGCAGCAGCAAGAACGGGAACCGCAGCAGCTGATGCAACTGCTGCATCAAAACGCGCATTTGCTGAAGCAGCTGCATTCGCTCATGGCAACATCCCCCTCCCTCCTAGACGCCCTTTCCGAGGAAAAAAATCCAATAGATGTCACTTATCTGCCAGAAGCAAAAACAGCCGTCGCCGCAGCAGCGGCGGCAGCACCAGGAGGTACTACACGGGAGGTGGTCGACCCTGAAGTGGTCTTCCTACTTGCATTGCAACAAAATTCTGAGCTGTACGTACAGTGCACCTCCCGGGGAGGCGAACAGGAGGCGCAGCTGCTGCTCCTGCAGCTGCTCGTCGACGCTTGCGGCTGCCTAGGGGAGTTGGCAGCAGTGACACCTGTAGACGAGTCCACCTTGCAGCCGCTAGTCTCTGCACTGCTGCCGTTTCTTTACCAGCAGAAGCATCAGGAGGCACTGAGACCTATGCAGCAGAGTCTGCAACTGCGAGCGGCGATCGCCTTGAGCCACATTGCCTCTGCCTGGCCTTCAGCATGCAGCTCCCTAGGAGCCTCATCAGCTGCACTGCGGCTGCTGCGTGAGGCGGAGCAGCAATTCAGTGCTGCGTACGGCTCTAACCAGGAGCGCTCTCAGCCGGCGCAGGAGGAAGCGCTGAGAGCTTCACGCCTTGCGGCTGCGGCTGCCCAACTGTGCCGCAGTCTGCAGGCGCACATTCCGAGCGTCCCCTTGCCAGCAGTGCCAGAAGCAGCGGCAGCAGCATCTCCTCCACCATTACCAAACGTCGGCTTGCTGACGGCGCAAATCGCTGCTCTCGAAGCCATGCTGCAAGTTGAACTGCACCACCAGAAGGCGCTGCTGCTGCTGAGCTCTGCAGACGAGCGGCGTGCCGCTATTTCAGAGGTCCTCTGGTGTGTCGCTGCACTTGTGACAGTTCTGCCACACTTCTTTCAGCCAAATCAGCAGCAGCAACAGCCCGGAGGGTATCGCAGCGCCGCTGCTGCCGCCGTTGCTGAGGCATGCCCCCGCTTAGGACAGACGCTGTTGCAGATTGCAGATCTCGCGCTGCAAGGGGGAGATAGAGTGAAGCAGCAACAACAGCTGCAAGAGCAGCAACAGCAACAGCTGCAAGAGCAGCAACAAGGTGCAGACACGTACATGCGAAAACGCCTCGACACAACAGGCGCAGACGGCCTCATGCCGACTCTCCAGGCTCTCGGTAAGAACAAAGTGCTCCGAAAGCAGCAACCGTCTCAGAGAAGCAGAAACAGCAGCACTTGGCTTTCATTGGTGTCGCCGGAGTCGGCAGGTTCTTGCGCTGTTGATGCTGCAGCTATTTTGTGCGATGCTCGCCGTGTTGGCACTCAATGGGCAGAGATGCTGACGCAGCCGCTTCAAGGCAGTCCATCTCCGGAAGCTTTCAAGAACTGCGCATTGATAGCTCTCCTAGAGCAGCTCGTCAGCAGAGATGATCATCGGTAGGCTGCTGAACGCCTCTACGGCTTTGGGAGGCGGGAGAGTGCGTCCTCTATCGTGCATGCAGAATCCTCGGGAGGTAGCGGATTTTTTGTTTCTTTTCTCCTGCTGCCCGCGTGCCAGCGAGGCATGGCGCCTTCTGAGGGGTCTCGCGGCTGGGCAGGCTACAGAGGGGGCTTTGCAGGTGCAGAGTGTATCATATTAGGCTGCTCTTTCTAGTGTCGTTGATCGCTTTCCATCGCGAGATGCTTTTGTTCTGCTGCGTTATGCCATATGCGCAGGGGTGTGCTGCAGGCTGCACTCTCCGTCGCCTGTAACCTTGCTGCAGGGCCCCCTCAAACGGTAGGCAAAGAGTTCTTTGGCTCTTTTTTTATTTCGCTTGCTTCGTGGAATTATCACATTGACGTGCCCGCATACCGGTGAATAGATGTGTAACGTCCGTGCAAAAATCGTGCCAAAACGGCCATGTACTACGCGCCTGCCCGCCTCTTCAGTTTGGCTCGTTGCTTCTCACTTTTCCAAGGGTCCTCTGGGATGCAGTGATATCTTTTTGCTCTAGCACCCCATGCCTTAGAAAAATGGTTTGCTTGCAAGGTGTGGGGTGGCTTCTATCTCAGGAGGACGCGGCTGTGGTGTTGCTGCCTCAAGCAGCTGCAATCTTGAGCAGCGGCAACACCTACGATATCGTTCGAGTAAGAGGCTGAGCCGTTGGGAAGACAGCTGGGTAGCAGCGGCACAGGGTTGTCACTAGACGGGAAAGATATAGAAGATATCCCCCTTTTAAAGACTTGTGCCGCAACGTTTTCTGTTGCGTTCTTCCGCGCTTTTGCTCTTCCTCTACATACAATAGCTGTCACTTTGTGCGTGGCGTTTGGAGATGGAGCTCAGGGCTTGTACGTACAGCTCAGCTGCACGGGCTTTTGAGTCTTTTCTCTTTGCAGCGCCATTAGGGCTTGGCATTTAGGGGTTTTCGCCTCAGGAAGCTGCGGAGATGGTGCTACACTTGGCATTCAACAACGGCTGCCGCCACTTGCAGAGCGTTGTAGCAGCGACTCCGGCCGTGTTGCCCTCCTACCTGGATATCCTTGATCGATGCAAAGTAAATCACGATCTGCCTACCGCCATGTGAGAAAACTGGAAGCTTTTTGAACGCAAGAGGGTCCTAAGCCATGCACCGTAATACCAGCCCTGCTCCTAAACGCGTTCGTGCGAAGACGGTGTTGTAATCGCATCTGTGGGCATGCAGCATTGCATTGGACTACATCTCCGCGATCCTCGAGAGAGAGCCTTCGGCTCGTCAGGAAATTTACGCCCTTGACGGAATCGCCGTAAGTTCGGCGGGGTGCAAACGGATCAAAGACTTTCCCTTTGTTGCCTCCTCAGCAATTCTAAGGCTTAGGGTCATGATTTCCTTGTTTATCTCTCTTTCCTCCACAGAAAATGGAAAGTGTGCAATTTCTGAGCAATGAGGCCCTCGACAGAAAGGTTTCTTGGATAATTTCAACGTACGTACACTGCACACTGCACCACAGGCTCGCCTGCCACACTGCGGAGTGGCATGCGGGATGAATGTCTTCCCGGCCCTGCGAAGTGTATCTGCGTGAAATCTGCCAAAAGTCGCGGGCTGTTCAATGTCTGGTGGGTGTGTATGAATGTGCAGTCTATATGCTCAATGGAGTCACGTAAAAATATAAGTTGAATATCGGGCCCTCATACTGTTGTGTGCTGGCGTTTGCTATGTGCTGTAGATATTTTGATGGATTTAGTGATGAAGAAGAGGAGCAGTCACCAGCATCCTTTAATACCTTCACGGCATCCGCTTAAGGGATCTGAGCGATTCTAGCTGAATATCATGGTTTATGAGGCTGTTTCTCCCCATTCTAGCGATGTCGCCTCAGTGCAGTTACTGAGCCTCGGGGTTGGTGCGTTTGTTTACATTAGACATTCCATGGTGTCTCTGGAGCAGCCCACCCATTGTTGTTGAAGCTCTCTGAGTGCAGCTTCTTCAACTTCCTTAAGAAATCCTTCCGTGTGTTAGCCGGTTTCAGTTGCCCCTATGAGTACATGAGGGGCCGTTAAGTTTGATAGCGTGTATTACATCGTGTCTGTGGGCCCTTCTTCGTGCCCCTGACTCGTCCTGGCCGTCTGCATGGACAGCTGCACAAAGGCGCATTGCAGCTTTTCGTGTAGACGCTAACACAGTTTTCCTCCCCCCTTCGCCGCTCGCGTAACGGTTTGGGGTGTACCTATGTGCAGCGCTCTCACTATGATTGTTATTGCTCGTTGTGGCTTCTCCTCCCTTCGAGGCCCCTCAACAACGGTGGATACAGCGACAGAAGAGGATCTTTCTTCTGATCTGGTCCATTGCCGGGAGGCGTAGAAAAAGCTGTGCGCTCCTGCAGTGGCCACCCATGTGTCTGCTCTGTTTGTTACCCGTTGTTGGGGCGTATAGGTGTCTCGGCTCTGATGAGTCTGTTGTCTGCGGGTGAATGCCTGCCAAAGCATCTGAACCAGAACGCTCTCGCATTTGCCTCCTGCGTTTTCCCTCCTGAGCCCACGCATCTCGCCTCCGGCTGCAGCACATGCGCTTGGCTGGGCCTATTGTCCCTTGCAGCGGGCGAGGCTGTGCAGAAGGTTTTTGCTAATGAGCCGGTGTCTCTGGTCTTTCTAGTTCAGTCGCTGTTCCTTCCTAAGGCTCCCTTGGAGGCGCTGAAGCGTAACTTGCTCCTGGAGCCATCGGTAGCTCACAGTTAGCGACTAGGAGCTAGGGCGTGAATCCCCGCAGGACTGGTGTCCAGCGGTGGGGGATTGGCTACGCGCCTTATCTGCTACAGGGTGCAGTCTCAAGCGACACAACGCATTCCTACCAGCGCGTGGTGGATTGCGCAACTTGCACTGTCGACCAACTTCCAGACCCTAGAACGCAATAATTCTCCCTGCATGTTTGTTTCTGGTGCTTTGACTGATTGGCCGGCCTTTTGTCTGTTCTAAGAAAGGGACACTGGAGGCCACGCTAATCATGCTCTTTTAATCGTTTTGCAACCGGGAGAATAGGTTACACCCAGTGATGAGCCTTTATTTGGTGCTCCTTGTGGATGTGGAAGACGTGCTGAGAGCAGCGTCACATGAGTGAACCGCCGCTCCTCAGGGATCGAGGCCTGGAGGCACGATGGGGGCTGTGCAAGTGAAACGCTGCGACATGCGATACGCAACCACGATGAAGAAATTCAAGATGGACGTCGGCCGTTCGCCGGCACAATTGCGCTACCGCCATTATGAAAATGGATTTCATACTTTTCATGAGCTTGACAACCACGGTTGAAGGCGAAGGCACTCAGTCTCACCACACAAGGCAATTCCCCAGGGAAAACGTGCGTTGTAGCGCGCTCAACAACACGTAGGAATGGCGCTTTGCACAACAAATGTTATACTTCACGAAGGACAAGTTATGAGCCGACTAAGCGGATAGGCCATTCGTATGCATAGGCTCTTTGTTGCAAATTAGTTGTACCGCTCCCTCTGAGGTCTTTTTGAGGGTAAGTCAAGTCCAGACTCAAGAAAGACCGAACAGCAATTCATTGAGTGTTCATCAAGAGAGCTCCCGCCTTAGCCACCCCCACTCACAGGGCTCTCGACATGAGAAACGAGGAACAGTGAGGGTCTGGGCAGCTGCACCCGCGAAGCACTCCGAGCATTCACAGCTAGTTGGACGTTGCCTCTAGCGCACACGCACACAGCATTGCATCTTCTTCCAACGAACTAGCGGTACTCTGCAATCATGAAGATGTGCTTACGGATAAACGAATCGGTCAATTCATGACTTGTTCTCAATGAACCAGCGGGTGCAGTAGAACGGGCCTCAGTGTTACCTCAGCGTACTACAGTCGAGAAGCACGAATGAGCGCTCTTCTGGAGAGGCACTCACCACTTTTCTATTAAGCTTTGTAATCATTTGGGGTGAACAAAGAATTTCCCTTCTAACAACAGTGCTTAACTGGGCGGGCTGTCCCGATAGCCGCACGGAATTGCAGACCTGCTGCCCCTTTTCCCCTGATGCCTAGGTGCACGTTCACTGTAAATAGAGAAATATAATATTTTGCTCTCGAGTGCTCATGAAACTGCATGTTGTGACACTCATTGGGGGCACAAAACGGAGCATCGCGCTTCCCAGTATCAAGAACTCAGGCACCACTACCCACTTCGACTGCTCAGCACGACACAACAGTCTGCCTGGGCTGCATTAGCTAGGGATCCTACATCACATCTTGTTTAGAGGTTGTTTTGTTTCTGGCTTTCCTTCGTGCTCTTGTTTTCGCCGTATCCTGTGTGCAGCGGTCAACACTGGCTCAGCAGGGGCCTTTCAGGCAAAGACAACTCCTACAGCTCGGAAAAGAGCGGTGAAAATAGAACGCGCGGTTAATGAATAATCGGGCTTGAAGAGACTTGTCAGTCCATTCAAGAGCACTGTCTATCTATCTCGCCTCTCCACGTCCATCGACGAGGCGGACTGCCAATCCGCATTAGTCATCTAAAGAAACCAGTTTACGGCGCACATCCCCGTAACAAAAACCACCATAATGAAATTTGATCGATGAAAAATAAAAGGAACTCTATCCACGATCCAGCAAGCACAGAGGTCTCGTGCCTCGTTGGGGGGCCCCAGACCAGTCACTTTTTTGGCAGACCTCTTACGCCTACTCACTGTGGCTGGGCAGACCTAGCTTTGCCGCCTCGCATATCAAAAGCTCCCGTTTACCCTCTTGATTCTTTCGTTTCTCCGTCATTCAGAGCATTTAATGCCCTGATATCCGCCAACACAGTCGGCAGCAGCGCCACCAGAAGGAAGCAACGGTGCTGCTGTACTCCGTGTTGCAGTGGGTGCGTTATTGGGGTCCTTCTCTTCCTCATTCTTTCATTTGTCCCTCTCAGGTCATTCTCTCATCAAGATGGAGTCTGCAGGCGAGACGCATTACGTCTCCTTCCTCTCCGGTGAAGGTGGAGGTATGGGTAACTCCCGTGGCGGCAGCATTGGCAGAAGCGGTCGCTTCTTTGGCTCTCGCTCTGCACGACGCCTTAAGCGGTATACGTTTGACTTTCGTCTGAAGGCCGCACTGTTGGCTGCTGCAGCGTTCGTTTCTCTGCTCTTGGTGTTTGGCTTCTTCCTGTTTGTGGCGCGTGAAGGGCCTCCTGATGGGCCCTTCCTGACTCATGAGGAGGCACCTTCCGTATGCGAAGAGGGAAGAGATGCTGGGGGGATTATTCCCCCAGCAGTTTTAGAGGAGATGCCGATGGACATCTATGAGTGGGAGGATAGGCACTTCGCGGTATCGTTTAGCCGCTTCATGACGGATCACGCCAAGTCGTATGCCTCGCTCGAAGAAAAACAAAAGAGATTCAAGATCTACAAGGCGAATCTTACCCATATCATGCTTCACAACCAGCAAGGTACGCACGAAGCGTCTTGAAGGCAGCCACAATTTCTTTTGTTTGTATGGATATATTAACGTATGGCGAGGGTTCGCCTCTTTTGGCAGCGGGAAGAATTGAACATGAGACAGGCAATTGTTCGGCTTATTTCCTGCACATCCTTTGGTCCTCCGCCTTGCGCTTGTCTTGAATGTAATGACCAGGTTTGTTGTGAAGAGCTCTTGCACTCTCTGGTGCAAAGAACAGAAATTTTATACCGTGCTTTCTGCACCTTTAGCGCTCTTTTGCGGAGAGGGGGTAGACAGGAGGAGCAGATATTACTGAGTATGCATGTGTACACATCAACAAGGGTTATAATATATGTATTTGTATTGTTTTGCACAAAACTGTGCCATAGTGTTTCGTCTGGGCCATCATTTAGCACCCAGCAAGCGGCGCGTGCCTCCGTTTCGTATTCTATGAATGTCTTTTGACTCCTATTTGCTCATGTATGTCTTCCTCTTTCGTTATGGTGTCTTTCCACAATTTCAGGGCACTCGTATTCGCTGGCTATGAACAAATTTGGCGACTGGACGGCTCAGGAGTTCGGCCGCATGGTGAAGGGTTTCAAGCAAAATCCCTCGTCTATGCAGCATTCAAGATTAGGAGTACGATAGGCACCAGACTCTGTTTCTGCTTCTGGACCTCTCTTCCTAGGATATTTTGCAGTGTAACGTGGCATTGCGCTTCCTTTTTTCTAGCCCATATGCACTTGTCCCTCTGGCCTTACCCTCTTTTGTTTACACCCGGCTCCTGCGTCTCGTGAACTGTTTCCCCCTTGTTTGCTTTTTTTTTGCTACCTCTGGATGGGAGTGCCCCCCGTCTCTGCCCCACATATATATATATAAATATTATATAGATATATAGATATTATCTAGATATAGATATTTGCATGATCCTTCTCCTTTATACATCATATTTTGGGTGTCCTTTCTTCCTGGCTTTGTGGTCATCTTGCATGATTCAAGTCTGCGTGTTGCTCGCTGGGGTGTGTCTTTCTTCTTTGCCGTCCGCCGTCTGGCTTTTTTTTCCATAGTTTCCTGCATATCTCTCTCTGCCAGTGTGGATTTGCCTGTTTTCTGTAGGTCGATCATTCTCTCTCAGTGATTTCTCCTGCCTCGTTGCCGGCGTCCGTGGACTGGCGTTCGAAGGGCTGCGTCACTCCCCCGAAGGATCAAGGGCAATGCGGATCGTGCTGGGCCTTCTCTGCTTCAGGAGCAGTAGAAGGCGCTTGGTGCAGCAAGACACGCGAGCTGGTGAGTCTCAGCGAGCAGATGCTGATGGACTGCTCCGGCTATCTTGGCAACAACAGCTGCAACGGGGGCCTCATGGATGATGCCTTCAGCTACATCACGCACAGGGGCCTCTGCACTGAGGCCGACTATCCCTATGAAGCTCACGATGACAAGTGCCGCGCAACTCGCTGCAAAGTTCGTGTGCATATTGGGGGCTTCTACGACGTGCCCCCAAAGAACGAAACCGCCATGAAGGCAGCACTCGCCACCCACGGACCCGTTTCTGTAGCAATACAAGCGGATCAAGTCGATTTTCAGTTCTACAAAAAAGGCGTATTTGACGCACCCTGCGGCACCAACCTTGATCATGGCGTCCTTCTCGTGGGCTACGGCACCGACGAAGAAACACACAGAGACTTTTTCATCATGAAAAACAGCTGGGGCACTGGATGGGGAGAGAAGGGGTTCATGAGAATGGCACAGCATAAGGGCAAAGAGGTACTGTCTATACACCCGAAACGATACCTGCAAAGATAATTCTGAAAATAAAGGACGGGCAACACCGCCTCCCCGGGAAACCCTTGCTATATATAGAGCTCTCGTATTCTCTCTTTTTCTCTCTCTTTCTTTCTCTCTCTGTCTTTCTTGAGCGATCTAAACATAAATCTATGCCGTGCTTCCTGCGCCTCGAGCGCACTTTCAGGAGGGAAGGGGGCGCGAGAGGGAGCAGACATTTTACGGGATATATGCATGCGTATGCATACACTTCTTCGCATCGTATATATGTACATATATGGTGTACATATTTTATCCAGATACGTGTATGTACCATATGGATGTTCATGTATGGGGTGGCTATAGAGTGCCGAATTCTGGTTTGTTGTGTCCTCAGGGGCAGTGCGGTCTCCTCTTAGCAGGTTCATACCCTCTTGTGGAGGGAGAAAAACCGCCCAGCGCCAGCACAGCCCGTCCAGGAGGCAACGGTCAAAGTAGCACCTCAGCAGAGCCGGTGGAGTCGGGAGCATCGGCTTCATAGCAGAAGCAGCAGCCTCGTCGCGATTTGAGAGGCTATGGTGGTGTATAAATACGTATAGATAGAGTTATATACATATATGTAAATGCATATACATATATAAGTACACATACATATACATATGTGGGTGCACAGTGCCCCTCCTCTCCGAGAGCGATGGTGCATGTATGAACTCCCGGTTGCACTGGCCCCTTGCGACGCTGTCTCTTCTTCAGCGCTATGGCCTTTGCAGTAGCTGGCTCAGAAGGGGGATTTGCTGCAAAAGTAGCACCAGAAGCCGCAGCTGCACAGCCTGTGCAGTGGCAGCTGCAGGAGCAGTGTCTACATGCAGGACGGGGGAAAGGAGGGAGGGGAACCTGTGCACGGGGTTGTTGGGTGCCTGCATGCAGTTCTTTGTTTGCGTAGTATAATAAAGCTTATGGCACTGGTGGACGCCAACAGGGAAGGGAAAGGGGGAGGGGGAAGCGGTCGGCGGGGGTGTTATTGTTTTTTCTTGCTCTCTCGCTCGCTCTCTCTCTCATTCTCTCTGTCGCACATCTCGGACTCCCCCGTGAATACCCCGCCCTTGCCTCCCTCTCTTTCATTTGTAGGCGCCTCTCCGCCTCCTTGGTATTCATGCTCTCCCTAGGTGCAGCAGTATATTTCCGCAGCAGCGTGGTTAGCCGTAGAGCACGTTGAGGGGCAGAGAGGCTGCCCCCAAGTTTGTTTGCCTCATTTTTAATCCGCAGTACGGGGGTACAGGCAACAGGCCGCGCTATTGTAGCACACTTGCGCTCCCCGATTTTTTGCGGTCAAATGGCGAACAGTGGGTAGCGGCGGAGGGCAGACGACCACATTAGCCGAACAAACACCAGTTCCACACAAACTATCTAGGGAGAATATACGCAGATCAGATCACTTCTGCTGCCTATGTGCGGCACCTTCTTTGCAACCCTAGGGGCGGGAGGGCTGCATGGCGCAGCAGCAGCAGTAACAACAAACGTGTGTTGTTGCATGTGACACGTTTTGCTTGACTCTTCTTCTCTTCGACTTGGCATCTTCCCTCTCTCCCTCCCAGTGACTCTCGGACTTAGGGCAGGGCACGTATTTGAGGCATTTTCTGGCGTTTAGGAAGCGCTGCAGAACGCATCGTGCCGTAGCAGTAGCAACAGCAGCCCCCACAACGCCGAGCCTGACGCGCCTAGTGAGTGCTGGCTGCTGAAGGCCGAACGGCGTGAGCACTGCGGAGCAGCAGCAGCCGCTGGGGATGCCGTAGCAGCAGTTATTTTCTCGCTGTAGTGCGACGTCAGGAGAAGCTTTCTGGCGCACTAGCGCGCACCCAGTTGTGTAGAGCCCGTGAACCCCCTCACTGCCTGCCTGCTGCCCCTCCGGTGCCTCTAAACTGCATTCTATGAGGCGTGCGCGTAGCCACTAGGGGTCGTACACGATTTCATTCATAAATGCACAAAAGGCGCGAGTAGATGTCCAAACGACATAGAAAGGCAGCCTTTTCTTCCAGTGCAGCCACGGAAGGGGCAACACTGAGCATCGCCAAACGGGCTGTTACGCCCAGAGCAGTTATTGCTGCTGCTGCACCTCTTCGGTGCATGCTTGGGAGGCGTATATATGTATATATATATGCATATATTTGTGTGGGGGAAGCAGTGCCGTCATGGCCTGATGTTGGTGCTGCGGTTACGTGACTGCTAGGCTCGATGCCGAGTGTGTGTGTCTGTGGAAGCCCCGCTGCAGTCTTCCCGCGTGCCGCTTCACGAGAAAAGCTATTTTGCTACGCTGCAGCAGCAATCGCTGCAGCCAACAGCGTGTAAGCAGCAGCAGCGGCAACAACAGGATCAGGCCCCATGAAGAGGAGCCGAAACGCACTCTGCACAGCCAGGTGATCACAAGGGCAGCACTGAGACACCGCTCATTCGGAATGTACTGGCGAATGTGTGCAAATATTACATATATATATATATATATATTACACGCACACTTTTAAGAAAACAAGGAAGGGGTGAAAAGTAGAGGGGGTGAAAAGTACAGGGGGTGAAAAGTAGTGGGGGTGAAAAGTAGAGGGGGTGAAAAGTAGAGGGGGTGAAAAGTAGAGGGGGTGAAAAGTAGAGGGGGTGAAAAGCAGGGAGTTACGAAAGTAACACCGAGAGGCATAGTACGGCATAGGCGTTCGATAAATGCCCTGCCGTGCAGGAGGAGGTTGGATATTGACATGAAGACAGCACGACGGTGCAGATAGCTGACCGGTAGCTCTCTGAGGCTGCTGCGGCGAAATTTTGTTGGTTTGGATTAAGGATTCGTAGGACAGGGCTGTCTTCATTTACCCTGGACAGCTCTTGCAGTAGTATGTACACCTGCAGGCAGCGCAGCGCACTGCAGCGTTCGTGGAGGGTGTGGGGGCTGAAGGAGCTGGCGTTTTTCGCTTCCTTGCGTTGTGCTCCTGCGATTTGCATTCGAGAGGTCACGTTTCTTGCCTGTAAGGCTAGCAAAGCCACGACAACAGCCAGCAACGGTATCGCTCTGCTACTCCAGACAAATGCATCTGCTGCCGCCTTTGCCGCTGCGTTGCTGTCGCTTCGCCTGCAGGGGGCGTTGCTCGGTGTTGTTTGTCTCGCCGCGAGTGCTGACTCGGATGGGGAACCCCCTGAAGCGCTTCCTTGTCGGTCTTCCTGGCTACACTCTGCTGCTGCTTCTTGCTGCTGCTGCTGCTGCTCCATGAAAGACTCCTCGGCACCAGGCACGGAAGCCCCTTGCTGCTCTTCTGCCGCTGCCGCAAGGAGAAAATTCGCGGCATCCGCAGTAGCGGCAGCAGGAGATTCGTTGGTGCTAATAAGACTCGTCCGAATGCTGTTGCTGTTTGCGTGGATGCTGTCGCTGTTTGCGTGGATGCTGTTGCTGTTTGCGTGGATGCTGTTGCTTTCCTCGTTGACGCTGCCGCGAGCAAGAGACAGCTCCTCAGGAGGAAGAATCACATACACGTCAGGAGTAGGCCCTTGCGCTTGCCGACGGCTCCTGCTACACGCATGCAGCAGCAGCAGCGGCAGCAGCAGCAGCGACTGCCACAGCCAGGCAGCCGCCAATACGAAGGAGCTTCTTGACGCGGTGCTGTTTGTTCCTGCAACTGACGTCTGCGAAAGCAGCACCAAAAGCCCTACACCCATGCAGCAAAACGTCACGACGGCTGCAGCAAACGCAGCAGCTCCAGATATGAAGGCAAGAGCTGCGATCGTGCAGCCTGCTGCCGCAGCAGTGGCTAGACAGTCGAAAAATCCCTCAACAGTCCTGCAACAAAAACGCACAACAGAAAATTCAAGCGGCTCCACTACCCCATGCACTTACACACCAACACCCACTAATACTCACACGCATACAGACGCATACAGACACAGACTTACACGCATACAGACACAGACACAGACATAGACTTACACGCATACAGACACAGACACAGACTTACATGCATACAGACACAGACACACACTGATACCCAGTAATCCACACACGCATACAGACACATACAGACACAGACTTACACGCATTCAGACACAGACACAGACTTACATGCATACAGACACAGACACGCACTAATACCTAGTAATCCACACACGCATACAGACACAGACACGCACTAATACCTAGTAATCCACACACGCATACAGACACATACAGACACAGACTTACACGCATACAGACACAGACACGCACTAATACCCAGTAATCCACACACGCATACAGACGCATACAGACACAGACTTACATGCATACAGACACAGACTTACATGCATACAGACACACACACAGATATACACAGATACACACCCATATACAGACACACACGCACAGGAATACAGACACACAGTTAAACACACACACACACAATAGTATACACACTAACACAGATGCAAACACACACCGGAGCTGCTGCCGCTCCTGCCGCTGATGCATGCCCTTTTCTTGCTACTGCTGCTGAGAAATACACACCCCCAATGCGCAAACACGTGACCTCGCTGAAAGCAGCCTCAGGGAGGCTCCACCCCGCAACCCTTACCTGCAAGAGTAGACACACGCCTCGAGAGCAAGAGCATGAAGAGTATTCGTGATGGACTCATCCCAACGGTCTCCCGCCTCTAGCCGCAGACGCTGAGAAAGTTTCTGCCTTTCCTCGGGTGTAATATCGGCAGATGTATCCTCTGTTTCTTTATCCTCGCCGCTGTCGATGCTGCCGATACTGTTGCTGCTGCTGCTGCCGCTGGTGCTGTTGTTACTTGCGTCCGTACTAGAGGGGGAAGTGGTGCTACTGCTGGTGATGCTGCCGTTGTTGTCACTGCTATTGTCGCGTAGGTCTGCGGTGTGTGCGAGAAAGGGAGAGACTTCACGATGAAGGCTGCTCAGACTCTTGCTGTCACTCCCTTGATCTGCATCCTGTACTTGTTGTTGTACCTGCTGCTGTATATCCTGTGCATGCGCTGCAGCCGCAGCATGGGTAGCTGCGATCAGAGCAGGCTGCCGCTCGTCGGGAGCGAGATATTCTGCCTTTTCTGTTAAAACTGAAAAGAAAGTCAGTACATGCAACTCCAAAGCAAAGGTGGAAGTACCAGAAATAACAACCCTAAACAGACACACACATGCACACACACACACACACACACACACATACACACACATACACATACACATACACCAGCAGCAAAAATGAGCTTATTAACAGCCACCAAAAGCTCACACACAAATACACATGCATCCATCGGCGGTGACTAGTCTATTTTGCAACTGCATGAAAGTACAGAGGCGCCACAACAGCCAGCGACAGGAACCGCGTGGATGGAATCTCCTTTTGAGCAGCATGCATCACCCTCAGAAACAGCAGCGCCATGCGAAAGCTCTCGCCAGCAAAGCAGCAGCAACAACAGCAACAAGAACGACAACGCGGGATCGGATGTGCATGCTGTGGATCTCACAGACTAGTGGGTACTGCGAGCAGCAATGCAGCAACAGTAGCTGTGAGAACCTGCATGGCAACGCAGCTCCTTAGAAGGCTTCGCTCTCTGCCTTTCTCGTGTTGCAGCTGCCGCGCGGCAGCAAGCAGTTTTACTCGGTGATGCCACTGCTGCTGTTGCGGCAGTGCATTTACCGAGATGCCAATTTCGTTATCCCCTCGATTACGCACGAGAGCGGCGGTGTGTCGTACAGTGGAGGGCGGCATCTCCATCACTTTCATCCGTATTATTTCCCCCCGCCACGTTCTGCCGTTTTGGCCACCACTGCCAGTCTCTCCGACTCCTGTGGCTGTTTCTGATGCTGCCAGTGCTGGTGTTGGGGGTCGTACGTGATGGGCTGAAACGGACAGGAAGTTCCCATGTTCGACGCCTCGCTACGTCGTATCTCCTTTGAAGCCTGCCGCTACTGTGTCTGACCATGAATCGCACCTTATGGAAACATGATGCGCTGATTCGAGCGCCCGTTACTTTCTATCGTGATGCTGTGGCCCTTGCTGTTGCCATAGCAATGGCGCCTTGATCGTCGTACCATGCACACGCACTGCGGATGCATAGGGAGAGAGAAACAGAGAGAGAGACTCTCCTTTTTGTGTGGTTGGCTGGCACGAATAGTACACATTCAGGCGGTTACAATGAATATAGCGGCAACTACACCACCCCATGGGGCCCACACACACCTCTCCGATGTCGTCCGCAGGCGCTGCTGCAGTTCGATGCGTCTGTTGTGCGCCCTACTGGCCAAAGCTGCTCCTCTATACTGCTTTATAATACACACAGAACGTCATTCTATCTGAATTTGCTTTGTACTTGCAGCCCTCCGCTGACTAGGACGAATCTAGCAGGGCCCCCTTGCAGCACTGCTGCACCGGTGGTGTATGTGTGCATGTTCATGAACACATGCGATGAGGGTGTCTGTGCCTTCGGTCCATTGCTGCTTCATGAAATTGCTGGGTAAATATGTTCGCAACACATGAGATTCTCTTAAGGATATGATAATCCTATTTGTTGTTAGCATATTCCTCGTTAAGCAGCGCTGTAGCCCGCAGACTACGGGGAAGCGGAAAGTGTGTGTGTGTGTGTCTGTGTGGGCAAGCAGGCACTCCCTCCTTCCTAGAAGTGCAGCCTTAGCACTTTGCCAGCAGGTCTAAAAGAAAATGTCAGCGAGTTTTGGAACAGAAGGCCAAGGAATCCAAGCAACTCGTGATCCCCTAGAGCCCTACTGCGACTGCCCACCGTGCACACTTACGGTTATTGCAGATAGCTGCCAATTTCAACACCGAAGAACAATCAACAAAGCAGTTATTGCAAGCTGCATACAGATAGCCATATTCCTTTTGCACTAGCCATCCGATCTACCCCCGTACCAACCGCCTCACCCCGCGGGCGGAGAGCGCAAGAACAGCCATGCACGTGCGCTGGCTGAACTTGGCGAGATACGCAACACTAGAGGGGGCTCCCAGTAGATTGGCTACGCAAATATATTAGAACAACTATACACTGCCCTGCAATACACAGGGAAAAAAAAGCTTATCCTGACGGTCACCGACCGACAAGCTACACGTCATCGTAGTGTCCAACCTGCGTGGAGCTAGATACCCGTATTCGTACTACTCTATCGCAAGACGCGGGTTCTTCTGTCTCGCAGCCTCTGTCTCTCCCTCTTTGCCTTAATCCCCTTCCCAGTATCTCCGTTGCTTGCCTCCTCGCCCTGGCGGATCTTCGCTGGGCCTAGTAGCACTAGCACTCTCGTGTTTCCTCAAACACAGACAACTGCCCACGTGTTCCTTCCTCAGCCAACCAACCCGACGCGAGAACTCGACGTTTGCCACTCCTGCCACTCTAATAACTGCCGCTGTGGCTGCGTTACCTAGCAGCAGCAACACCCCCTCCTGCAGCACTCTCCTTGAGGTCTGCCAGCGCGGTGGGTGGAACAAAAATCTATGTAGGGCTCCCCCAATGACAAGATCTTCTGGCAGTACTGTCGCTAGTATGTCGCGACTACTCCTCAGGGTCGGTCATCCGCAGCCAAAATTCAGCGTAAGACTCAACCTGCTTTTGCCGCTGCTGCTGCAGTTGGGATTGCTGCTGTGGCTTCTCCTGAGGATCCCACGTTTGTGATACCGCGAGAAGCTCGTTCAAAGTTTGCTGCAGCAGACTCCGCGGCACTGCCATGTACATCCATGAGTAACTGGGGGCCGCTAATGGCCCTGCCGGAGGTGCTCCTGGAGTCACCTCTTCAGCTTCGCTGTCACTGCTGCAGCAGCTACTGCTACTGCTGCTGCTGCCTCGTCTCGCTGCTCCTGCCCTGTTGCGGGATCGCCTCGAGCTCCTTCTGCAGCCACGAGGACTGGCCGTGCTCGCCTTGCTGCCCTCAGCTGCGACAACGCCTGCCTTCCGCAACGCCTCCGCTGCAGCTGAGCTCAGCGGATCGGCCTCCCGAAGGGCGAAGAGTGGGTGGCAGATTGGGTAAATCGCGCTCAGGAGGCTCTCCTGCAGCAGGTTAAGAGACAGATCTAGAGAAATAGTGATTGTAACAATGCCATCTCCTGTTTGCTACTCTGAGATTTAAGTGAATGGCCTATGGCCGTTGCTACGGCTCAAGGTTTGGCACACACACACCTCTCCCCTCTCGCCGGCGATCCAGCGAGCCTGCCGATCCATCAGCGTCTGCAGCAGCAGTGGCATCCGCATGAAAAATCACGAAAGCTACAGCAGCAGTAAACGTGGCTTCTCCAGCGGTGTGGCAAGTACCAGCAGCGTAAAAAGCGAAGCAGGGCTCTATTGGTGCAGGCAAATGCCGCATCACTGACAGTCTCTCCTTCTGCAACCTCTCTGTATTACATCTAAAAGCAACAGGAGAGACGAAGATATGCAGAGCGAGAGATTCAGGATCTGGGTGTCGGCGAGTCAGCAGGGGGGAGGGAAGTTCTCACAAAGTAAACATGCGCGAAAACTGAGCGGATGTGATTAAAATTATAAGCATTCCGTCCAACGTCTAAAGTGGGGTCCTGAGAAAGCAGCAGCAGCGCCCACAGAAATAGCAGCAACAGCATAAGTAGTAACTAGAGGTAGAGGAATCCTAACTTTCTAGCTGGTTGGATCAGTGTCGCTGTAGCATTCGTCCGGAGTTGATGAAGTGGCACTCATCGCTGCAGGGATATCCGCCATACTAAGGGGCTCTCCATGCAGAAACGCTGCGGATGGGGAGCATCCACAACAAGGCCCTTCCTTGCAGCTTCGGCTTGCGTTTCCTTCAGAAATATGTGGCAACCGCCACGAACACTGAGGTCAGCTCATCGCGCACACCCACCTACACGCACATTTGTGCAGCTAGCTGGTGCTGTTTGGTGGTCAAACAATCAGAGAGAAATAGACTACAAGACAGACAGAGAGAGATAGCAGATGCACCCAAGTGAAAGTGGCAGTATAGTCCAATGCCGAGGCAGCAATGACAGCAGGCAGCAGCAGCAGGGGAGAGAACAGTGCTGCCAGCACCACGAGCAGCGCATGCAGCACCAGCAGGTGACTTGCCAGCCCCCCCACGCCTCGACATCCCACTGGATCCCGAAAAAATGCATGAACTCCATGAGGAGGTGACTCAGCAGCACGCGTGGCTGCGACTGCCGACAGAAGAGGCCTGGTGTGAGGTGTATGTACAGCAAACTCATGCAAAACAAGAGGTACGAGCCGATGCCACCGCGATACGTGTCTCCCAAGTTTCGCTGCAAAGACATATACGCAGAGACGCCGTGTTTTAGTGCGCCAGAAGCGGCAGCCTCATCAATATGACAAGAAACTCGATACGATTCATAAGCAGCAAATCCCATCAGCTTTAGCAGCAAAGAGGGGGCTGCCAACAGCACCTCTTCGGGAGCTCACGACTTTTAAAAGAAGCTTCACACACAGAATTAAAGGCCTCAAAACCGGAAAACGACGGAGCTGCAAACCGAAGGCAGAAACGAGAGCAGCGTCATGATTCTCTATCATCAGGATACGAAGCACAGTGTTTGAATGACGTCATGCAACAAGAAGGAGGGGCGGCAGGAAACAAACGCCTATCTTCCTAAATACGAAGCCACCGAGAAGATCTGGCTGCTAAATTCTGCATCCTTTGCACCCACATCAGCTGCTACGTGACTCTAAAGGCATGCCCCCAAAGGACTCACCATTTTGCGTATGTGCTTAGTGGTGCTGACTGAGGAATGCTGCAGCAAGGAAATATCTACAGCAACGCCGACTGCCGCATCCACATAGCGAACAATAGGCACTCGAGCTCCACTAACGACTTCTAGAGACTGAGCCAAGCCGAAGCGTTGTATAGAGAGTGCAAGCAGCTCTAAGCACGTCACTACATGTGCCCTTGATATGGACTCGCTGCTGCTGCTGCTACTGGCATTTTGGTTGCTGCTGCTGTTGCTACTACTACTGGCATTGACGGTGCTGCTGCTGCTGTTGCTACTACTACTGGCATTGACGGTGCTGCTGCTGCTGTTGCTACTACTACTGGCATTGACGGTGCTGCTGCTGCTGTTGCTCGTAGGAGTAGTCCTAGTCGTAGCCTTGCGGCTGGTGTCTTCAGCAACAGAGAAATAGGAAGGCGGCACACACAATGCTGCGTCAAGATCTGCCCCTGGCAGTGCTAACTGCGTTGCCTGGGATCCAAATACGCAGCAGCTGCTGCCTGGCAAGGCAGCTGCAGCAGCTAGCTGCAGCCGTGCGGCTGCTCTAAGTCGTTGGTGCTGCTCCACCGCTGAGGGATGCAACAGCTCCAACAAAGCTTGCAGCTCGAGATGCAAAGCAGTATAGAAGCATCGAGGAGGGGCTGAACGGGGTGGCGTCTTCTGCTGCTGCCATGGAACGGCAGCAGCAGCAGCAGCAGCAGCAGCAGTAGTAGTAGCAGTAGCAGTAGTGGCACCCCCACTACTACTAGTTGGAAGCTCTCGTCTGCGCCTTTTTAGCCCGCGATCATTTGAAGAAAAGGCAAGATTTCCAACTGGAAGCCAAGCACCCGACCCTCCAGAAACCCCTGTTTCTTCCGCTGTAATGACTGCTCGGTTCGACGAACGGATGGCAAGCGATTGCTGCAGAAACATGCGTGGCGGCACGAGCAAGGCTTCGATGAGGCACAGCAAAAAGAGCGAGGCTGCAGAAGCAACTACAACAGAAGAGACAACGGACTTGCCTTTATGTTGCTGACAAAGTTCGAAGATCTCTGTGGTGCATACGCAGCCTCCAACAAATAGGCTTCAGCCCCCAAAGCGAGAATCTTGTCATCTAAGCTCCATGTCTTACTGTCGCTGCCACAGGTGCTAGTCCTACCATTGCTGTTGTTGTCGCTGCTGCTACAGTCGCTACTGCTGCTGTTGTTGCTGCTGGCACTTTTATTGCTACCATTGCTGCTACTGTGGCTGCTTTTATTGCTGCTACTACAGTCTCTGCTGCTGCCGCTGCTGCCGTCAGGAGCAGCCTCTTCGATAGGAAGGGCCATGGGGGTGTTGCAGAGTGCAGCTGTACCCTCCAAACGCCAGAAGTCTCTGCTCTTCTATTAGGCCAGTTGCAGCAGCTGTGTGCTGTGTCTACACCAAAGGCTGCTCGAGCTGCTACCAGTACGCTATCCACTGAAAGGCTGCAGGTGCTCAGGCAGCAGCTGCTGCCTCTCGCTTTCCCTCGTATTGGAAAGATTTCAGGGATGTGCTGCAATTGTCGATAGCGCTCTTGCAGCTGCTCCTGTGGCAACAACGGTGAACAGCCGGCAAAAGCCCTTTCTTGTTTTCGCCGCTGCTGCTCCCATGTTGCGTCTGTTGCAGCCAGGAAGTACACTCTACGGCTGGCGTCGCCGTCAAGAGAAGCAACAGCAGCAACGCGTGCTTGGGGCTGTTGTCAGCAGCAGGGGAACAAGTGCTTCAACAAGGAGTTGCCGAAGTTACTCGGATGGAATTATTCTTTTAGAGTAAAACAAAGAGATCAAAAGATAAGATCGGAACCGGGGGAAAAGAATAAGCGGGCATACACCGTCTGGGCGCATGTGCCCAGGGAGGTCACATCATGCGCTGTCTTTGCGGCTGCAGCGGCTTCGGCCGCTGCCTCTGCTGCAACGCAAGTGCAACTAAACTGCATGCCACGTATTAGACACGCCTTCCTTATGTTCTCTGTGCTCTGACTGTTTTGCCTTCCGGAACATCAGGCTTTCTCCCCCGCTTCAGCGTTCTCGGTTTGAGGTTTGCATTCAACGCTCATCGCACATCAATGTTTCTCATGCATTGCACCCCGACTGCGATCTCTCCAATGAATCGCATTGGTTGACTGCAACTTGGAGTTGCTTCTAGGAGGTGCGCTGCCGTCCTCTGTAGCGACGGCAGCGTCATCCACACGCTGCCGCAAACACGGCGGTGATTGCCGTAGACTCGACTGTTGCGTCCTTTTCCTCGCACTACAGACAGCGAGATAGTGGTAAAAAATAAGGTGGCAGGGCTAGGGGCGGGTAGCCGAACGATGAGAAACTAGGAAAAGGTTGAGTTACCAAGCAACTCCGCGAAAATCAGTAGGCAGCGACAGAGAGGTGCGAACGGCAGGCGAATCTTTGTCAAATATACGCCCTCCTTTTGCCTTATATACACAAATTAGTATATCTATGCACACATTTGCAACTCCGCAGCTGTGCTTTTAAGGGGGCAGGGATGCACCGATGCAATACAAGACGTGCAGATCCAAGACCATCCCGTAGAGCAGCCCCTACGGCAACAACTTAGGTGTACAAAAATGTTGCGGCAAACACGCAGGCAAGGCTCGGCACGATTTCAGACCGACTAGGGAGTAATGGGGGGACGGAAAAAGCACTCCCTGGGGACCTTCGAAAGCACGAGTCAAGAAAAAATTATGGAAGGAGACCCCATAGGATGGGAATAGCAGGCTTGCTTTTGGTGCACTCGATATAGACAGCACTCAAGCCCCTAGAGAGGATTCGAATCTGCTGTTTGTTGCATGCCTTACTAGTGCAGCGGACGTCGGGTGCCCTTTCGTGCCTCACGTCTGCCTGCGGCGAGTCTAGAGGACCTCGAGGGTTATCAGTCGAACCTGTACGAGGAGCGGCCAGTGAGGAAGCCCTCACTAGATTCTGCAGCTAGCAACACGTGCTGCTTGCTACGTATTGAATTTCCAATCGAACCCCTGAAACCAACTGCTCCCGATAAGCGTTGGGGCCAGAAAGTTGTGTGACACAGGTTCAAGTGCCCTTGAGGTGTAACTCGCTGTTGCTGCGCCAGTTCCCAGTGCTGCTTGCTCCTGCAGGGGGTTCAAATCGTGGGAGCCTACGGTGTGTTGCGCCTTTGCCTGGAGGAGCCGCAACATGAGCTGCTGCAGGGCAATCCTGCACTAATCCGTTCCCTGTTGCGGATATTGCAGGAGCAACAGCAACAGCTGACCGCCAGCAGCAATAGCACCAGAAGAAGAGTCAGGAGTAGCCTCAAAAAGAGATGCACCACCACTAACATCTACCTTTGTCTTCTAGTGTCTCTGCCGCTCTTCCTGTTTTCTGAAAGCCGGCAAGGAAGGGCTGTGCTCAATAGCTGCAGGGTAAACTAGTACTGCTTTGAGCGCTTCTTGGTGTTGAAGTAGCTGCAGCTGTTGCTGTGTAACATATAAATGACAACGAAACCGCTGCTCTTCTGGATGTCGGCGCCAATAATTTAGGTAGGAGACGCCCTTGTACAATTCCTTAAAGAAGTAGGCGCAGCTACGGCTGCTGCTGCAAAACAGAAACAAGTAGAGCAGCAGCAAGATGGTGAATCCCAACCGGATACAAGAGAACCTCAAGAGGAGCTGCACGAGGAGGAGCAAGCGGAACTGCGAAACGGCTCACACGCATTGCCATCCGCAAAGCAGCAGCAACAATCACGAGGACATGTCTCTACAGTTGGTCACTGTCATCGATTACACCATCGTGTTGTACTACCCCTCTGCTCTGACGATTTCTGCAACTATCGCTTTTCCTGGTGCTTCCGGCGCAACTTGCTTTTGTGCTGCTACTGCCTCGTCTGTTCTGCTTCAGAGGTCAGTGCGAGGGACCCAGGATGGAGGTCTGCAGCACTTGTTGCTGGTGGTCATACATACACTCCACAATCTCTGTGAAGACAAACAGTAAGCGCTTTGCTGCGACTGCCAGTTGTGCTGCTGGTGCGGCAACCAGGGCCAAGACGAACCTGTTTTCACTCTCCTTGTTCCCTTGCGACGAAAAGTGTTCCTGATACTGGTGCGCGCAGCATTGAATGCTCTTGTGCTGATACCTAGAAAGCCAGGCAAACTGCACCCGCTGTGTACTTCCGCTTGCCGCTGCAGTGTGGAGGGGCGTCTTTCGCACCAGGGACTGGCAGCTGTGCTGTTGCAGCTGCTCCAGCCGCCCCTGCGGCGGCTGCAAGACACAGCGGTAGAGGTCTTGCAGCAACTAGCACGGTACAGAATCAATAAAGACCGCCTTATAGCAGCCAGTGAGAGGGCACGCGTTAAGGAGGCTCTATGCAGCACTTTTGTAGCCGCAGCAACCCTGGTTGTAGCAGGACAGACAATGAGACTGCGAGCCACGCTAGCAACACCCCCCTAAACGTTCACGGCAGCCACCTATGTTCCGCTGTCTTCCTCTTTCTCACAGATGCATGCCAATTACTTTGTACCTTGCTAGTAGACAGCAGCAACAGCAAGTCGCTTCTGCAACTTATTACAATCTTGTGCCACGACAAAGAGGCGCGGAGACAGTTCCTGGAATCGGGGCTCGTTCAACGCCTCTCCCAGCTCTCCGAAAACCCAGCAGCTTCCCAGGCAAGCCTTACAAACAATAAAGGGGCACTTATTTTTAGATGGAGCGAAGCTGCCATCCAAAGAGCTAGAAGGACGACTCATGATTGAGCACGCACTCTGCCATGCATGCTCTGGCGGCGTAGTACGCCCTCTACTGCTGGCGTTGATTCTCAGCAGCAAGGGTAGGCAGAGGAGATTGAGGCACCTTCTGCAAGTGTGTCAGCGAGGGCAGCGCAATTTATAACGGCCGTGTTGTTGTGTGTGCTGCAGTCGGTGTCCTTCATCTGCGCCCTCTTGACTGAAGACTGTGAAGGCCGACTGGCCCTTTCTTTTTGTCCCTCCCTCTTGGCTGTCATGGCGAAAGACTTTCTCTCTCGCGGCCAGACGTAAATTCTTCCCCTCGATATGCTGTGGGTTCCCTTGTGAAGCCTACAGCCTCTCCTTGCATGAGGCATAGAGCCGCACTCACGGAGCACAGGCAGGGACGCTTTTGCTACCACGGTGGCTCTCCTTGCTGGTGGTGCTGCTGCAGGGTATCTGGAGCAGGCCTTGCAAATGTGTGCCTACACCCTGCTGGTGCTGCGCTGTTGCTACAGCAGCACCACCAGGTATTGCAGCTGTTGGATAGCGCCACTGAGGAGGCTGCAGTGCCAAGGGGGCCCCCGCGGGGCCCCCTAATAGGTGCAGCCAGGCAGTGGAGCTGTACTGCTGCGAGAGTCCTCTACAGAGCAACGGCACATGGCTCCTGTGTCTCTGCGTTTACCTTAGGGGTTGCTTGCAACAGGTGAGCTGGAGTTTATTGTCCGGCACCTTCAAATGCCGATTAAGGAGTACGAAGAGAACGGCCTGAGCCGCTGGCGCTTAGGCTTTATAAGGGTGTTGTTGGGGGGGTCAGACGTGTGGTGCAGACCTAACTGGGCTAGTCGCGTAGTTGCTGCTGCTGGCTCTTCGGCGGCTACTGCTGAGGCACTGCCGGAGCTGTGTGGGCTTCTCGCTAATTGCGCAGCAGTGCTACAAATGCACCAGCTGCTGCAGGACGGCCTTTTGCAGATGCTACTTCGGTGGGGTATCACAGCTATCCAGACTATTAATGCCCGAAGCGAGCACGTCTCTCTGCATGTGAGGGGAGAATCTAGACACTGGTGCATCTAGAAAACTCCTCGGAGCGATTCTTATAGCTTAAAAGATGAGTTGGTGGTCCAATGCTATTTTGGGGGGACCGCAGGCTGCTCTGTTCCCGAGATACTTTGCTTGAGACTCGCCTCGAGTTATGGCGCCTTATTGCTGCTACTGCTACTGACACCACTTCAGCCAATTTGCTGCAGCAGCAGCAGCTTTTGCCTCAACTGTTGCTTCAGGACCTTCAGAGGCAGCAAATGTACTATCAGCAGAAACTCCTGTGTAGAGAAGAGCAACAACAGCAAAAACAGCCGCAACAGACTCGGCACCAGCAGCGATTGTTAAATGAGATGCTGATGCATCTCTTCAGAGTGGTAACAGTGCTCGTATCTGCTAAAGAAACAAGGTACTTGAGCATTAACTTAAGCAGTAGCGGCAGCAGCACTGGCTCGGCGTGGAATGGAACTGCGGCAAATTTGTGTTGTCCTTGCTGCTTCCAATACGCAGAGATATGATATTAGGCAGCGAAGAGCTGCTGGTGCAGCTGCAAAACCTCTACATTCACAGCGACCCCACTGCTCAAAACGAGGAAAGTGCTCTTGCCGTTATTATTGTTCCTGCGGGACGATCGCTGTGCCGCTAAATGTGCTTCTGTTGCAATGCATGCTGGTGCTATTTTTGCGGCAGGGTGGCATAACTCCTGCATGGGTTCCTGCTGCTGCTAGCGGTGCCGTTCAAGGTGTGTTGTTGTGCTTCCACAACTATAGAGCAACCTGGGTACTTCACTGCTTTTTTACGCAGGCAATGAAGTGTCTCTCCACCTTGCAGGTCAGTGAGGTGCTGTACTGGGTGTAAGCGTCGGTAGCAGTGCTGCTGTTCTTGCGTCTAAATTTCTTTAGAAGGCATGGCTCGGTTCCTAGTATGTCAGTGCTCTCAGAGGGCAGATCGTTCATGTATTTTCATCATATATATTGTATTGCCAGCTGGAACGCGCAGTGATGCCGTTCTTCAAATTACCGCTGTGCTGTCTTTAGGAGTGTGGGGCACCTGGGTGCTCTGAGGCTTTGGCACGGCTCTTCTTCAGGGTCAATAATAAAGCCTGGTGGCTTCGCATGAGTGATGCGTATGTACTGTCCACACGAAGGCAGCAACACCAGCTTTTTATGAAAGGTTCTCTCAGCCAGGCGTGTTAGCGGACGCTAGGCAGCACGAGGACACTTGTTCACCTGGCTACACTTTCCTTCTCTTCGATGCTTCAAAGTGTTTCTCCGAGGCTCCTGAAACCTGAAATAGACACCAAATACGCTTCATGCTTTGCACCATTTTGGCTGCTAGGTGTATTCGCGTATATTTATACATACGTGTAAATCGGCCTCTCTCTATCTTTCCTATCATACCGTCTCTGTTCACCCCTTGAAGCTTTCTGTTTTCCCTACGAAAATGATGTTGCCTTACCGCGTGTTTCTACGTGTCTTTTTGCCTAGCAATGCTCCCAGTGCTTCCTGTCAGCTCCCTGTATCCTGCAGCGCTTACAACCCCCCGCTTGATGAGCAAGGCGGGTGACAGAGGGCCATGTAGGGAAAAGCCTTTGCCGAAATTCGACAGGAAAGAAACGGACAGGGGGGACACGTTAAAAGTGAACGAGGAAAACGATACAGCCTTCGTGAAAACGACAACTCACGCGGGGTACAGGATAGCAGGGAAGAGAACAGCGAGTGACTCAGAAGCTGACAAGCAAGATACAGGAGGCATAGAGGGAGCCATCCAGAAAGAACAGCAGAGAAGTAAACAGGCGAAACCAGATGCTGCTTCATTAGCTTTGCGCTTACTCTAGCTGCCGAAGAGAAATTTCACCAAAACCACGTAACCATTCCATACACGCGAACGCCCCTAGCCATAGCCCTTCACTAAGAGCGGAGGCTAAGTGGTGGCCTGTACCGGATGAAGGGTGATTTTATGCAGATCATACAGTGCCGTGTCGTGAACACAATACAACGGGCAAGGTTGTGGCTAAGCATATTCAGGCAGCACGGCTTACAGCTAACCATGAAGTTGGTATTGTCCCTGCCAGAAGGGTGATGCCTCAGCTTTCCTCTATAGCAGCTTCTGTACCACTGGTCACGGGTGGTGTGCGTGAGGCGTGGCCGTTGTAGGGCCTCTGACGCTGATGTCATGTAGAAAAAGCCAACCAATGAAGAAGTGGAATGGGGAAAATTGGGGAGCATACCCATCCGAGTTCTTTCGCGCTTCTCAGATTGTGGCAACTGCCATCCATCTTTTATTTTCACGGATATCACGATATGTAGAGCCTGAAAGGCTTGTTGTCTTAGTGGATCAGGTGGCTGTCTTCAGTGTTGGCATACCAAAGACAAGTTAGGTAGCCTCTCTGTTTCCTTAGTCAGACACCGCCTCATGCAGGCTTCTCATAATAGCCTCAAGACGAAGTAGCAACTGAGAGGCCTCATCAAGGTGACCGTTGCGAGGCTGGCAACCCAGGAGACCAAATCTAGCTGTGGTAAAGGAAGAGAGAAAAGGAAATAACATGGTGTTCGTCGTACTTTGTGGTTCTTTTTACAATTCATTAAACCTAATTGACACAGTTGCCCTGAGGCCTTGTAGCAGATAAGCCACACTAGGGCAACCGTTGCAGCCCCACCAAGTGACCTTCGGCGCGAAAGCAATATACCCGTCTTGCCTATGCACGCCGGCATCAAGGAAAACCTCTTGAAAATTTTGCTAATTTATTAAACCTGGCGTGAACCCCAATTAGAGAACGAGAATAATGGCAGAAAACAAAGAAGAAGGGGAGGCTGCAACACACGGCCGAGGGGAAGCTTGGGTCGAAAGCCTTTTCAGCGACGATCTTGAGAAGGCGCAGAGGCTCAGAAACAGAGCGGTAAGTTATGGCTTTCAGTTCACCCGCAAAGAGACTTAGGTAGCTCCTTACATACATTTATTTCACACAACCTAAGCGACGCTCTGTAACATCAAGCAGTGCAGGCAGAGGCCATGACATGTACGGAAAATGCGCTAAACAGTGGCCAGCCGTGGCTCTCTCAGCAACTCTATGCTTGCCTTTTTCTCCATTTCGACATATTAAGTAACACATTGATGCTGGTAGCGATCTTCGTGGGCCCTTGCCATATTACAGCTGGACCTACAGAGAGCTCTGTTATCGTGCTTGTCGCTCGTAAAAAGCATGATTCCGCAGTCATGCGCTGACATTTTGCCTTGTGCTTTCTTCAGGCGCAGATTCAGGCTAGCAACACTGAGCGGCTGTGCCGCACACGCGGCCTAAGAGATCTCCTCACTGACTTCACATCGGCCGTCCTGCTCTCCAAACCAGTAAGTAGTTACCTTCCATCCCTGGCATTCAAGTCACCAAATTTCATGTGGTCGCTAGCGCATTAGCCAAAAGCTAAGCTGGAAGCACGCAGCAGATGGAAAAGTGAAGATCGTGCATATTCCCTCAGGAGGACGTCTTCGAGTTTGCACGGGAATACTTTTCTGCATTTGTAGAGACGGATTCTCCAGACCAACCGCTTGTGAACACAAAGCCTAGCGGCTAGGTGTCTACTTGCTATCATTTGGCTACGTCAGGTATTCGTAAGAAGGAGAATCACTGCCGTGATTTTTCTAGGTGCACAAGTAAAGGCATACCATATCATGGGTGCCGCATACAGCACCGCTTAATTAAATGACGATTTAGCGAGAAGGGCTAGCGAACTGTTCACCCTTTGCATTGATTCGCGGCAATAGATCCGTGGTGGATGCCTCGAAGGGCACACGAGGAGACCCGTAGGGCAGCAGCTATTCTGCGCTGCATCAATCGCCGGTTGGTCTGCCAGCTAACTAAATTGTTGAGGCCAAAGGAAATAGGTAGCCAAACACACGTGGCTACTAGATTGCTGCAGGCTAGCCACAGATACTGCCAGCTAGCCACCGATAAAGGCAGCTCAGTGGTGCTACCCCACAGTTGTGGGCGAAAGCTCGGGCTTAATTAAAGGCGGCAGCTTGCTATTGTTCAGTTGGGGCCTGTGTTTCGGTAGTCTCCTTTGGTGAGGCAGAAGCCACAGGCAAGGGAGATAAACTAGCTGGGCTACGATGTAGATACGGCCTGAGGCACATCGAACACAAACCCTAATCCCTCATCTGATTGCTCGCCATCCAGAAAGATCTTGTGGGTTTCATCAATATCACAACTCCCGGCTGGCACTCTCTGCCAAAGAAGCCCTTTAATTCAAAGCTCAGGCTATAAAAGCTCTTCATCACCACGTCTTAAATTTGGTGTATGGGCATTTCGTCCATATGTACGCCCCAATTACCGGTAAAGGTGAAGATCTGCCTGTAGTCCGTGTGGTCAGCAAGGAGGCCCCCAAAGAGAGCAGACACACTCCACATGAGAGTAGCAAGAGACTGGAGAGCAGCCCATCGACCAACAAGTCGAGGAGGTATGAGGTCCAAGCAGACGCTACGGTCTATTGGGGTCGAAGCGTTTTGGAAGGCACCTCTGAGAAAGCCAGATAAACAACAGCTGCTCAAATGGAGAGATGCATTTTTGCGAAAGAGGCATGCAGAGATTAGAAGCGAGCATATAGAGGAAGGAAGGACGCATCAAGAGACAATACAAAAAAACAACGGTGAAAGACGACGCAAAGAAGGGCGAAGGACCACAGGGAAGAAGCAACACGCAAAGGAGAAATAAATAGATTCACTGGCCATTACTATTGCAGTCAAGACAGGAAAATGAGCCCCTTATTTTTAGGGTTTTTGATTCATCAAAGCCCGCCTTTAAAGACGTCCTGATACTGTAACTGCATGCTCTACTAGATCGAATGGGGTAGGGCTTTCCGTTCTGTTGAGCGCTGGGAATCAAGGCAACCCTACCGCATTAGATAAATGAAAATGACTGCCGGCAAATAGTGAACTTGAGAAAGAAGAAATAATCCCCTGTAGTCGCACAAGCATAAATATATATATATATATATATGTATATAAGCACCCCTGGATACTACAAAACGCCTAAAATCGGTGGGGCACAACGTCCTGTTACACTGTATCTTGGGCGGTTAAAAGCAAACCAAACGAAGACTATGCAGCAGGTTGCTACAGCATGTTAGAAAAGTCGCCTACCCCACTCCAATAGAGGTAAACAAAAAAGACGCTTCTGTGGGCCCCATGTGAGTGGCGACTTTCTGAATAACTGAGATGAGCATACAGCGAAAACGCATGGAACGGTAAACGTCTGAGGATCGACACAGGAGGCGATTCTGCTCTCTCTCTAGACTGTGACGCTCCATTGGGTGTAAATCCACGGCAAGTCCGTTCCACAAGCTTATACAGAAGCTGTTCTACCCTTCCCTTCCCCCTCTTGTTTCAGGACTACCTTCTCGCTCAAGAATGCATGAAACGCCTCCCCGCATGCAGTGCACGAGTTAGCACTGCGCGTCTCTTTGCTTGCACCCCCAGCTCGGTCCGCGGCGTTCACGGCATATAATGCCACACAACCCACGTATACCTTCTATCTGCAGCGCCAGTCGAAGCCCCTTTGGCTTACCGTATGTGAGCGCAGCAATCGAGATGGTGTAAGCCGTCGAAAGAAGGCACGAATGGATCGGCTTGAATGCATACTCTGTTTTAAAAAACAAGGGAAAGTACTTCACTGTCATCCCTGCATCGGCACACATCGAACACCCAGCAGCAAGAATGGCAGAAGCAAAAACCTGAAACAGCACTTCCTGCTTATATGCCTTCCCCTTCGTCAGCTTCTCATTCTTTAGAAATCCCTTTCGTTCGCCACCTCTAGTGCGTGCCCGCACCGTATACATCAGAATTTCCCCATATTTACTCCCGCAAAATTTACCCGCGCCACAAAAAGTGATGCAGTGGGAGATGAACATGAGCCATGGGACGTGCTTCGTTCTGAGGAAGAGGAAGCGGCAATCGGGGGTTGCCAGTGCTCCAGTGCACTTTGTCTCGGTTGAGGTCTTGGCTAGCTCGTCTTGCTGCTGCAGCAATACCTCAATGCTGCCCTCAGACTCAGTCCGCTTCTGAACGTCATCAGCCTCCTTCGATGCCTCAGAGCTGGGCTCCCCATACTTGGCGTCCAGACGAATGCGGGAGGCTTCTTCTGCAGAGATCTCCTTCCAAAGAAGAAGGACGAGCAACTGCAGAAGAAGACACGGACCCGCAGGCGTCGCATCAGACATATGCACCGTGTGCCTTTGCCTCTTCTCCTTGGCGAGGCTTTCTGCCCTGGCCTAGAGAGCCTGCATCGCGTCAATGGCTGGCTCCAGGTGCACTGTCTGTGCGTGTTTTTGCCTTTCCTGAACCTTTCTCGTGGTCTAAAGCTGATTCTCCCCTCGTGCGTCCTCCGTCCGGCTGCCTGACCCCACACCCCGTCGAAAACAAGCAAGGGTGAGCTAGTTGGCAGTAGCTTTTCCCACTGCTCACGAGGCGAGCTACATATGTGCTTGCCTGTGGGATGCTGAGGAAGACACCGATCCGAAGCACCTTGTGGAGGATGTGAAGGCGCCACGCGTTGCCGCAAAGAAGGAAGACGCAGAGGGAGAAGAGGGGGCCTAAGCCGTTCGCGAGAGTTGTTAAGATCCTCCGTAGCACAAATAATCGGCTGCGTTGTCCTTCGCGAATAGAAAGGCAACGCAAAGAAGGCACATCAAGCATTCGGAAGAAACAATCATGGGGAGGAAGAAGCGGCCTCCCCAGCACCCCTTCAAGGCAAAGAAGGCCGCATAGAGACGCGCTGAAGAACGCGAATAGTTGTAGAGCAGTGCAGAGGGAGAACGACCATAATGAGGACGCTCCTTAAAGGACGACGAGAAAAATGCTAAGTCTGCAAACGGCCAGAAAAATGGCTTCCCAATGCCAGCACGAGAACGTGGATGCCTGCGCGCGTGTATCCACGTGTATATGCGTGGAACTAGACATGCATGCAGGAGACCTACCACGTGGGATTGCATCACTGAAGAGCGACTCCGTCAGAACCGTAACCCACTCATACCAGGCCTTCCACAGCAAATTTGACGCCAGTAGCAAATTGAAGCTGTCAAAGCCAATGGCCAGATAGTTGACGCCTAAGAAAGATCAGCAGCCCACACACGCGCTGCACAAAGATCCAGTCGAGGACGCACTGGCAGAGAAGCGCCTCCTTCACCACACAGGGGCAGTGCCTAAGTGCATGTGCATGCTGCCTCCAGTCTCTGCCAGTCCCCAAGCCACAACTCACACACGCAGAGAAGCCCCCAAGCGGCAGCGCATCGAAGACTTATGCACCGTCGTGCCTTCATGGCATCCGCTGCCCATCCGGCAAGAGGTGCCACGACTACTGTAATAAGCCCTGTGAGGGAGGCCATCGCACCAATCTGCACGGCAAAAATCCCAAAGCAGCAAATCTTGGACCGTGAGAAAGCGCCGCAGAACAAGCGGCAATGTGTAGCAACCCCTCCATGCACAGACGCGAGAGGGAGAGGGAGAAAAGCGACTTTCGTGGAAATATCGGATGCCGCAAGTCTTTGTGCATGCAGTGTATATACACCTCAAAATTCAAGTCTTACAGCCTTGTTGCCGCCAAACTGCATGTGCAGATACGCGTCAAATATGGCGGCGGAACGTGCAGCGTAAGAAATTGCATTCAGCACGCGAAAGTATAGCCTGAAACGAATACGGAAGGCAACGCTCCACATACACACACACAGGTGAACCCTTTTCGAGCCGAAGACAAGCATGTACACACCCACCCCGTGAGCATCACTCGACTGCAGAGAAACCATTTGTCCGCCGCTACGGTTCCCGACACTTCTACTACCGCCTTCCGCCTGTCTAGATCGCTCCAAGTCTGCACTGTTGGTGCCCTGTGTGACCCTCCTAGCCCAAAGGCTTGCACTCCGAGAGACTCACATGAGGCTAACATTGCGATGGCAAGGCTCTTTCAGCAGCAGGCGGTGGGGGAGGAAAGGCTTCAACGCAGCAAATGCCGACGCTTTGCGAAGCCCTCCTTTTTTTCGACCTGTAGAGTCATCCACTTCGTCAGTCTCTAACAAGGGCAGTGTGACTTCTGCCACTTCGTGCTGCCTGGGGTGCGGATCCTGCTGCTGCTGCTGCTGCTGCTGCTGCACAGAAGGTCGACGCATCACCACCCCCCGATACTCTCGGGGTGCTCTAGGGGTCCTCGGGGAGGAACCACACCCAATGGCCTCTTGTACCATCCTTCTCGCACGGGTTTGCAAACCCTTGCCGAGATAGCAAAGCCGACACTCTACACCTCCATGGAACGGCTGCGCTTCCTCCAGGATCCTCTTTGAGCTCGAAAAAGAGTGGTCTGCCCACGCAGCGAAGGAGGCTGAATGCCGCGCAGGCGAGATTCCAGGTGTACCTCGCTCCAGGTCCTTAGCCTAGGCTCCCCCTCGATCGAATACCCCAAAGGCTACGCACTTTTAACGCCGCAAATGGCTGCCCCCGCAAATATACACAGAATTGAGCACTGGCGCCCCAGGAAGGCTCCAGTCTGCCGCTGTCTTGCTGCCAATCCCCCAAGCCAACCAGCCAGCCAGGGGGGCCCCCCTATTGTTCCCCACAGAGGGGGCCCCCCGACCCTGGATAAGTGGCCCCTAGAGCGCAACTCCTTGGAAGGAGAACACTGTGCGGCTGCTTTTCTTTGTTTTCCTCAATTTCGCTTCCTCAAAGGCCGCTTCTGCGAGGCTTTTCGTCCGGGGTGCCCCCCGCCCTTCGGAGCGCGAGTGGGAGTTGCCGCGCATCGATTCTTTCAAGCCGTCCAAACCGCGGCTTCGTGTAGGATTCAAGCTTCCTTGTATAAAGCGCGAGGCTTGAGAGGAGAAGCTGAAGTATGATGTTGCCTTCTTTGCCAGGTTGACTGCGGGAAGGCCGTTGATGCCTGCTGACACCCAGCGCGTCTGTGCAGAGGAGGCACTGGGCTTATTACGGCTTCACGATGTTTATTGTTTCGGCGCTGAAAGACACGCTCAGCGTGCAGCCGTCCCTCCAGGGGAGGCCCCTGGAACCTGTGCTGCGCGAAGCGATTGCGCTTAAATACACCAACAAGGTAGGATACGCAGGTTTGATGAGGGGAACTACGACCAGCGGACTCGACAACGGCGCAGCTATAGCGAGATATTTTCGGAAGTTGTGGTGGTATACTTTCAGGTTCTGCGAGGTCTGGGACTGTTTGTCTGTTTGTATGAAATCACGGAAGTCGAGGGAGCAGCCATTCTTCCGGCAACCGGTTCTTCGCGATACAACGTAATCCTTGACTCCCACCCGCTGTGCTATGCTCCTACTCCTAGTCTAATGCCTCACAGGCTAGCCACCTTCTTAGCTATCTCAGGAGTCCACATTCCTTGTGGCCGTCTGCCCCTGGCCAGCTCACTGCGTAGAGCGACAGGAGAGTCACGCTTGCTCATTATGTTTTCCGCGCATGAGGCTTTGGGTTGTGAGGCTTTGGGTTGTGAGGCTTTGGGTTGTGAGGCTTTGGGTTGTGAGGCTTTTAGTTGTGGGGCTTTCAGTTGTGAGACTTTGGGTTGGCGCTGCAGGTGTGCTTCAAGGCCGTCATCTTTCGGCCGTTTGTAGGCGAGGTTTTACAAGGCACAGTCTGCGAGTCGTCATCCTCAGGAATCGCTGGTACCCCTCCAAGCAACTAAAAGCCCTCTTAACAACAAATCTTTGAACCTGCGCATTCTCGGAATGCCGAGAAGGCCTCCCCCTTATCCCCCACACCCTCCCCCCCATCGCCCTCCGAAGCAGCGCAGAGAGTGCAGTGTGAAGAAAGTGTGCGCCAAAACGTTCTTGAGGTCTTACGAGCGCCGCGAGAAGCGTGTGTGTATGCCTGTTTGTGCTTTTCGCCCCTAGTGGACTTGAATTTTTTCAAGGACGTGAAGATTCCAGCCTCGAATCTTCGCGAGCCGAAGGCGTGCGAGGAAACTGCAACAGCAGGTAACATTGCAGCTACAGGCTTTTCAGCAGCAGCAGACGGCAAGGGGCCTATGGCTGCCGCGATTTGGTCGTGGTGCTTTGAGGGTCACCGGCTGACGTACGACTTGGGTGCCCCCATCCGCTTTCGCGTTACAGACGTCATTTTTGCGAGAGAAGAAGGTGCACATGCGCGAAAATCTAGTTCTCAACCCCTGCTAGCTGTGCAAATTAGCTAGGCTGCCTTGTTGTTGCTTCCCCGCCTTCGCGTCCACACCAACACCCAGCAAAATCCCCATTTTTCAGGCTTCCCTAGGGAGGAGAGGCAGGAAAGCGAGCGCTTGTAGAGCCTCTATATTCATATTCATATGTAGGGTCCAGGATTGAGATTCGTGGTGGCTTGTGGATGCAGCCCAGAAGAAGTTTACGCTGGTGGCAAGCGAGGAGAGCTACGTGCCCCCGATGGTTGTGATTGTAAGCCTTCAATCAGCAGCACACTAGCCCGTCTCTGTTTTGTTGAGGCTTTGGTTGCAGCGTCTAGAGCTGTCTTCTTTGTGGCACTTTTTGTGGCTCAGGGCGAAGCAAACGCAGACGGCCTGGGCATGCTCTCGTGGTGGCAGTAAAAGCCGACTCTGTTGGCTCTCCTTAGCCATCCGTGGGAATCAGTGGCGGAATTCTACCTGATTCAAGGCCAAGGATTCGCGCATGCCATGCCCTTCTTCGGCATGTGCAGCAAAGACTGCTCTGCCTTGGTGTGCTCTCTCGCAAGAAGCTAAGGCTTAGATTCGCGCTTCCCCCATGGGATCTACTTTCCCTGGCGGACCAGGGGGACTGGCCTGTGGGGATGATTGTTGCAAATGCTGCTGCTGTGTTGTGAGAACACGCCGCTGCTGCACCAGCAGCTGCTGCTGCCGCTGCAACAGCTGATGCAGAGACAGAGGCTGAGGCAGACGACCTGCGGCTAGAGCCGCAGGCGCTGCTTCTTGCAGTGTGTGCAACAGCGCGTGAACTTTGCCGGCTGCGGCGAGAGACTCATGTATCTGCAGCCATAAAAAGTCGCATCAGCACAGACAGGGAGGCCTTGTTGGCAGTTCGTCCTGAGAGCAAGAGACGCTTTAAGACACGTTTCACGCCTGCCCTTTTTCCCGTCACTGGCGACTCCGTATAAAGACACACTGCAGGAAGCAGCCCACGGTGCGCACTTGCAAAAGCTGTTGTTGCAGCTGCATCAGGAGGCCGTGGTGGGCAGAATGTTCATCTCCAGCGCTCCTCCATTCGGCAGCGATCTCCTCACTCAACTGCAGCAACAGCGGCGGCTCACAGCCAACACACGAGGGGCATGCTGAGGCTGCAACGTGCCTGAAGAGAGACACCCTGCCGAAAGAATGTGGCAACAGTTCTGGCGGCGACAGCACACCTGTGCGATGTCTCCCTGTCCATTTGTGCGTTTCAACTTGCTGTGGAGTCTGGCGAGCAAGAACAAGCCATAGAGGTCCACGTCGGGTAGCCGCAAAAACTGTTGCTGCTGTTGCTGCTGCAGCTGCTGATGAGATTCGTCTGACGAATATGCCTCAACGGCAGAGGCCACAAAGTCATTCCATAGAGCAGCAAAATCCTGTGAAGAGCAGCAGCAGCAGCAGCAGAAGCAGTGCATTATCGTGCTGCAGAAGACGGCTCGTATATAGCCGATAAAGGAGGCGGCTGTTTGGGAAGGCATGGACAGGGGGGCAGGATCGGGGGTAGAGAGAAGCTTAAACAACAGTCTGCCGAGTGTAAAGGATTCATTACAGGATCTCCCTCAGCAAGTGCTGCTTCCTCCTCTTGGCGTCGTGCCTCCTTCGCCAGGCTGGAGACGTCGATAAACCCCTGAAGCGACACGGAAAGACGCATGGGAGCCGGTTGCACACATACACACACTTACACACTTAGACACATACATACACACTTTTACACACACATACATACACACTTATACATACTTACACACAGATACACACACTTACACACACATACACACACTTACACACACATACACACACACACACAAACATATACACACTTACACACCTCCACACACTTACACAGATACACACACATACATATGCACTTAAACACATACATACATACACACTTACACACACATACACACAGATGCACACTTACATACACACATACATACAGACACTTACATACACACATACATACAGACACTTACATACACATACACATAGCAGAAGCAGCAGCAGCACCAGAGGAAAAGTCTAGCCGTGCTGGTAGCGCAAATATATCAGCATCAGCATCGGTAAGAATATTTCTGTCATCGAACCTGAATACCAAACGTTGGTAGCAGCCACAGTCGCAGCAGAAGCGCTGTCGCTGTTTCATAAGCCGCAGCAGGGATGGGGGTAATCGTGCTGCTGCTGCTGTTGCATGCTGGATTTTCGCTGCACTTGGCCTTGCTGCCTCTGCTGCCTTCTTCACTGGTGCTGCTGTCACTGCTGACGTGCCTTTGGCGTTTCCTCCGGCTTATCGCCCCCTGCTGTTGTTGCTTTTGCTGTCGCTGCTTTTGCTTTTGCTGCTTTAGCTGTTCTTGTTGCTGTTGTTGCTGTTGCTTTTGTTGCTGCTGTTGCTTTTGTTGCTGCTGTTGTTGCTGTTGCTTTTGTTGCTGCTGTTGCTGCTTGAGCGTTGCGACAATGGCGGCAATTGTGGGGAGCTCCTCCAGAAGATAGGAATCCTTCTGCAAAGACACATTTTGCTGGGAGAATCGTGCCATATACATAGCAGCAGCATTCGAGGAGCTGAAGGAGTGGTGAGCGCTACCAGCAGCTCAATCAATACAGCAGCCAACTCACCGTGACAAAATCCTCAGCTGGCGGCAATACCCATTGCTGCACTGCATGTGCTGAGCTCGATTGTGTCTGCTGATGCTTTTCGTTGAGTGCAGCAAGCCGCATAGCGAGTTCAACGACTGCATGCAGTTGCTGCTGAGCGACAAAGCAAACATGCTCTGCAACACCCCCAGGCACGTTAAGTCCTATCGTTGTTGTTGCCGTTATTGATGCTGTTGTTGCTGTTGCTGTTGCTGCTGCTGTTGTTGCTTCCGTTGCTGCCGTTGTTGCTGTTATTGCTGTTGTTGCTGTCGAGGAAGAAGAGGAGGAAGAATTGCCTGGAGGAGACTGCGGTGATGCAGCAGGAGCAGCATCAGCAGCAGCAGCAGCAACGCACTCAGCTGCTGATCTCAACGCTTCTTGCTGGTGTCGTTGTTGAAGGAATTCCTTGAAAGAGGCACTTAGAACGACTGGAGCCGCAGCAGTAAAGAAGCTGCAGACAGCAGTACCAGCCTTCCTTTTGAGAGCAGCCCTTGTTGCACTAAAGACTTCGTATTGGTGACGTTGCATGCGACTCGTGCGATGGTTTTGCAACAGGAGCCGCGCACTGTACCTCTCTGGCGATAGCACCAGCTGCCGCATGTATTCGAGCTTCGCTGGCGTTGTTATGTCGGCTGCTGATTTGACGTCTGAAGAGCAGCAAGGAGAACTCTCCTGCTGTGCTGCCGCTGCAGTCTGCGAGGCTTTGGAAAGCGCCTTCATCGACCCTTGCTGCTGCTGCTCCTGTTGCTGCTCCTGTTGCTGCTCCTGTTGCTGCTCCTGTTGCTGCTCTTGTTGCTGCTGCTGCAACAAGGAGCTAAGGCCAGAGCCCTTCGATGCCAAGAAACGCACTCCCCTATGAAGAGCAGCGACGGTACTAAGTCTGCTGCTTTCTAGAGGGAACCACCTACGAAGAAACACAGAGCAGCGACAGCAGCGAAAATTCCATGCGTAGCGAACGTGTGCATGCAGCAAAAGGCAGCGAGAGGAGGAGGTGCATGGGCTGCTGCTGGGGTGGGAGCACTTGCCGCGCAAAGCAGTTCTTCCAAAAACTGTTGAGGCTCAGCTGCCTTTCCACGTGCTGGCAAAACATGCGAGGTAGAGCAACACTGCTGTCGCCAGCTTCGCCGCTGCTCCGGCTGCTGCTGCTGCTGCAGATGCAGCAGCAGATGCAGCGGCAGCAGCCTCTGCAAAGGTCGCATGCAGCACGAATGGCTTCCAGCTTCAGCGCGTGCAGCATCAGCACGGCCCAAAGGTGGAGGTACACCTCAACAGCAGCCAGGCGATGGCTGCTGCTGCTGCTGCTGCTGCTGCTGCTGCTGCTGCTGCTGCTGTTGCTGCTTTCGCCATCTGCGGCAGCAGCATTATCGCCAGCCACATAGCAGACCGATTCCAGCCAAGCGGCTAGCTGCTTGCGGCTGTTGCTGCCGCTGCTTGTCGCGCTGCGTGAGCGGTGTTGCTGCTGCTGCTGAGGATGATGCGTCTGTGGCTGTCTTTGCATCTGGCAGTTCTGCTGCTGCAGCTGCCTTCTCAGTCCGAGGTAAACACCCTACGCATGCGGCAAGAGCATTGCGAAGCAGGGGGACTGTGTTGCACTCAAAAAAAGCCAGAAAAAAGTGCTCTAGAGGTGGCCATGCATTCAGAAACCAGTCAGCCTTACGTATATGTAGCGAGAATCAATGAGAACTGGCTCAATAGAACTCCCACCATCGCGATGGCGTCTCTCCTGCAACCGCTGCCCTCGCCGTTGTTGTTGTTGCTGCTCTTGTTGCTGTTGTTGCTGCTCTTGCTGCTGTTGTTGCTGCTGCTCTTGTTGTTGCTGTTGTTGTTGCTGCTCTTGCTGTTGCTGTTGTTGTTGCTGCTCTTGCTGCTCTTGCTGCTCTTGCTGCTGCCTCTGAGGCTTTAATTCAGCTTCTGCCCCTCTGCCACCATCTGGCATGCTGCTATCTGAGAGATTGCTGCTGGCGCTGCTGCAGATTGCAGCCTGAGGCACGACGGCTCCTGAGCTGTTCTCCTCACCTTTGACTCCTCTGGATTGTCGCAAGTGGTGTTGACTGTTTTGTTTCAAAATAAACTCCTTGAGCTGCTGCTTTTGCTGAGGCGGCAGCTGTTGCATTGCTCGAGGCAATGCAGCACGGGGGAGACGCCGCAAGGCCCAGTAGAGCCGTTCTATGCTGCTGCTGCTGCTGCTGCTGCTGCTGCTGCTGCTGCTGCTGCTGCTGCTGCTGCTGCTGCTGCTGCTGCTGCTGCTGCTGCTGCTGCTGCTGCTGCTGCTGCTGCTGCTGCTGCTGCTGCTGCT